GGGGCCCCGTGTGTTGCTGGTGGGAGTGTACAATGGTACAGCCATCCTGAGGACTCGATGGTGGCTCCTCAAACAGTTACATACAGGATTATGAAATGATCCATGGAGACCGCTTCTGAGTAGGTGGATAGCCGGAAGAATTCGAAGCAACCTCTCAAAGAGATGCCACTGAGGTTCATCAAAGCCTGGACAACAGCCAAGAGGCAAAAGCAACACAAATGCCCAGGGACGGGTCAATGGATTAAAAAAAAATGTGATAGTCTGGCAGGATGGCAGGGTGGCGCACACCTGTAACCCCAGCACTCTAAGAAGCTGAGGCAGGAGGACTGCAAGTTCAAGCTCAGCCTGGGCAACTGACTGACTTAGCAAGACTTTGTCTCAGAAGTGAAAATACAGAAAGAGCTGGGGACGTAGCTCAGGGAAAAGGCCTCTGAGTCAGTCCTCAGCATGGAAAAAAAAAAAATAAAAATCAGGAAGGAAAGCCTGTCTGAACTACAGTGTGGACCCATCACAAAAGGACAAATAACAAGTGATCCCACGCAGATGAAGCATTTGAAGTCGTCAAAATAATAGAAACGAAGTGTGAGGGTGGTTTGTTAGCGAAGGGTAGGGGGAGAGGAAGCGGGAAGTTGTGATTAGTGGGTTAGGGTATCAGTTTTGCAGGTGGGAAGGTTCTGTAGCCTAGTGACCAGTGAGTACACTTAACATCGCTAACTAAAAGATAGTTAAGATGGTAACTGTACTGTTATGTGTTCACAATAACTGCTCTAAAGAAGGCATGGAATGTCAACACGGGCAACACAAATGAGTCTCAAAACTATAAGGCTCAGTGACAGAGGTCAAGCTCAAAAGGCTCATTACCATGGACATGGCGTTCTGAAAAGGGAAAACGCAGGGACAGAAGAGATGGGTGTCTTCAGGAGCTGGGGCAAAGGGAGAGGTTAGTTATGAAGGTCTGCGGGGGAGCCTCCTGGGGATGCCTATACTTTGATTATAATTATCATTTTACAGCCATAACTCATAAAAATGGCCAGATGTGGTGGCTCATACCTGTAATCCCAACACTTGGGAGGCTGAGGCAAGATGACTGCTGCAAATGTGAGGCCAGCCTGAAATGCATAGTGAAACCCTGTTTCAAAACAAGAAAAAAAACTTATAAAATTGTACACTAAAAAAATCTTCACACTGAAAGAAATACCTATATCTCAAAAATTATACCACCCAAATTTATACTCTTTTTTCGGTACCAGAGATTGAACTTAAGACCTTGCGCTTGCCAGGAAGGCACTTTGCCAGTGAGCTAAACCCCAGGCCCTCCAAATTTATACACTTAAGCAATGGTGTATAAACTATCTCTCCATAAGTCCGACTGAAAAGAAGCAAATCACCAGAATGTTCACACCTGAATCATGTTGGTAGACAGTCCATCAAGTTCTTTTCCTTCTTTTTTGTTTTTGTTTTTGTGTCCTTCACACACACCTCCCCCCCGAAGTTGGGAATGGAACCTAGGGCCTGGCGCACGCCAGCCAAGCACCCTGCACCGAGCTGTACTGTGTGTTCTTTCTGGTCCTTTTGCTGTGTTTGGGATGTTTCCACTGGACAATATTACAAGGACAAGTGATTTGTTTAAAAAAGCCAACTGGTTTGACCAAATAATAGGATATAAGATTAAAATTGTACAGTAAACAAGGCATTCTTATTTCAGACCTGTCTATGGATGTCTCTGGTTGTATCTGACTTCATTTTGAGAAAAGGTCACTGTAAATTTGAGACCTTTCAAAAATATGAGTTCTGCTCAAAGAGCCCAAACACCCCCCATAACAATCCAGAAAACATTTGAAGGGTGGTGGCTGGCGAGGCACATGGCAGTTGGGGAGGGAGAAATGCTGACTTTTTTCTTCTGGATATTGGTCTAGAAATAAATTACTGGGCTGGTTTCTTCAGCCAAACTGGTAGGATCGGTCCTTGGCCTTCCCATGTTTTTTGTTCCCCCCGGAAGTGTACAGAGCATTGAACACAGGGCCTTGACCCTGATATAGCCCCAGCCCATTTTTTATCTTGAGACAAAGTCTAAGTTCCTAAATTTCCTTGACTGGGCTCAAACTCATGATCCACCTGCCTCAGCCTCCCAGAGTACTGAGATTACTATGTTAGCCGGTGCCACCAGGCCTAGCATCACAGTCTTGATCTCCTTGCAGGTCCAAACAGAACCTTTATGAAGCTTGATGATCCTATCTCTACTTATAAACTATTTGGGTAAGATGAACGACACATACATAGTTAATCGCAGGAAAAATACTTATTTTTTCCCCCAGCACTAGGGATCGAATCTAGGGCCTTTATACTGGGCTACATTTTCATATCCAGTGCTTTTTAAAATTTTGACTTTTAGGTGGTTTTTTTGGTGTGCACGCATGTGTGTCTATGTGTGTGTTTTGTTTTAATTTTTTTTTTTCTTTTTCATTTTTATCGGTACCGGGGATCGAACTCACGACCACCTGCTTGCAAGGCAGGTGCTTATGCCGCTGAGCTAAATCCCCAGCCTTGTTTTGTTTTTTGAGACAGAATCTTGCTACATAGTCTGGGCTGACCTTAAAGTCATGTGACCCAATCATGTCACCCAAATTGGTTTTTAATTCACAGTGATCCTCCTGCCTCAGCCTCCCAACTTCTGGGATTACAACCATTTATCACCACATCTGGTTTAGGTACCTAATTTTAAGTAGGGTAGAAGCCATGATTTTAACAATAACAACATCAGCTCAAACCACACCAATGAGCAGATCAAAATGATCGACACTGCCTTCCACCGTTAACCTTAGTTGCTTTTTTTTTTTTCTTTCTCTTGACTACCTACTCTTCCTGTCAGATTTTGCCAGGCTGTTCATGCAGCAGCTTCCAACTTAGAATTCCAAGAAGCTGAACTGTCTTGATTCCTCCTAACACTGGCACAGACCACTAGGAATTACAAATGCCAACAACCCTAGAGTGACAGATGGACATTTAAAATCACCAATATTTATACATAACCCAAATGCTGAGTTTTAGGGCAGAACATGGCTTTACGTCTCAGCCTTTCCATGTCCTTCCACCCTCAGGAGGGAACTTTTTAAAAGTCAGGGCAAAGGAAGAGAGAAAGAATGCTTTCAGTCAAAAGATGAAAAAACTGGCAGACACGAGTCACCTGTGAATGAAAAGTGCCAGTGTTCCTAAGGTTTGCAAAACTGTTTATGCAATCTCCATTTTGAGGATGCCATAAAATTATTTTTGGGCCATTTGCTGAATGTTGAGATTAGACAGAAAAGGGGAATAAAATGATTTCTGAGGTTGGAATCTTGGGATGTGAGCTTTTAAGAGGGTTTTAGAAGTTACATAATCATAAGGACAAAAATGGTAGAGAGCCACAGAGCACTTAATCAAAATTTTAATCCAGCCAAATAAAGTGTAGTTTAATGTTAGGTTTAAAATTTCAAATCAGAGGTGCCACACACCTGTAATCCCAGCACTCCAAGAAGCTGAGGCAGGAGGATCATATATTCCAGTCCAGGCTGAGCAATTTATGCAGACCCTGTCTCAAATAAACTAGGCATGGTGGCACATGCCTGTAATCCCACGGGGAGGTTGAGGCAGGAGGAATCACTGTGAGTTCAAGGTCAGCCTTGACTACATAATGCGTTCCGGACCAGCCTGAACTACATAGTGAGACCCCGCCTCAAAAAAACCCCAAAATAAATAAATAAAATGAATAGGGGCTGGGGAATGTAGTTCAGTGTGAAGATCCTGGACTCAATTCCCAAACACACACACACACAATCAAACAAAAAAATAGGACAGTGATTCTCAGACATTAAGAAAAAAAAAGAAGGTAGAAGTCTGCAGCTAAAGAGAAACTTTCAAAAAGAAAAAAAGTCCCACATTTAGAAGTTATAAGATGAAGGTATGGGAAATTTAGTGGTTTTTTTTTTAGTGAGATAGTTCATGAAACAGTCCAGAATTTCAGTCAGATCTTAAAACAATCCTCTATAGAAAAAATTGTGGAACTATCTGTATTACACATTTGAGTGATCCAATTATATTTTTATATACTGTGTCTGGAATGCCCCACAAAGGTGCTAAACATGTCGCTGTGATGATTTAGCCTTGCCATACAAATATAACAAACTAGGTATGTATACCATTTGTTATTCTGAATTGGTAATGCATTTCTTGAATAAATATTGTGATATGTTTCAGTATTTTGACATCTACTTCTGAATTGTAAGGAGACTGTGTCAAAGGTACAGACAGCATCGCCAGATAATTTTTCAGTTAGATTTGTTTTATTTTCCCCTTAAGATTTATAGATTAGGGCTGGGGATTTAGCTCAGTGGCATAAGCACCTGCCTGGCAAGCGCAAGGTCATGAGTTCAATCCCCGGTACCAAAAAGATTTGTAAATTAGTCTACTTAGTTTTTACCAAAGCTTTTTTTTTGTTTGTTTGTAAAATTATTAAGTGTTCATCTGGCCCCCTTATCACAACACCGAGTTTTCTGGCGACCTCTTGAATCATGCAGAACAAAGATGGTAACCCCAAGGTGGACGAGGGTCTGGGACACAGAATGTAAGGCTGGAGATGTGACCGACCTCCAGGTGCTTCTGCAGACTTAGAGTTAGAAGGCAGTTTCCAAACTTCGTGCCCTTGCCGGCTGTCATGCCCTTTGTTAGAAACGCTGATTCCTGGCCTTTGCCCTAGACAGATGGACTCAGGAACCCGTGATGGTGCACCTGGAAATCTGTGTTTTATAAACAAGCGCAGCTGGGAGACAAAAGAATCCCGGGTGGGATTTACAGGGCCCTGGTCTCCGCCCCGGCCTCGCCCATGCCCCGCCCCTCCAGCCCCGCCCCGCCCCTCCAGCCCCGCCCCTCCCCTCCAGCCCCGCCCCGCCCCTCCAGCCCTGCCCCGCCCTTACGCCCACGCTCACGCTCGCGCGGGCCTCGCTCAAGAATGGCCTCTCTAGCCGTCTGGCGCAGCTTCGCAGGTCCTATCCCATGATACCTCGCGCCTGGCTGTAGCTGTTGCGGGGCAACGAATAGTCCAGAGCTCGGGCAGCTCGGAGTTCTGCAGGGCCATGAGGCCTCAGGGCCTGCAGCTGCTCTTGCTGCTGCTTCTGGCCACCTGGGCCTCCGTGAGCGCGCAAGCCGTAGCCACTCTCGCGGTGCCAACCGAGGACCTCAACTCCACCGAGGCATCCCCTGCCACTCTCGGACCCTCCCCAACGCCTACGACCTTAGGCACCTCCAGACCCCAGAAGCCCCCAGGCCCCAGGCCTTCCCCAGTCACGGATGGTGGGTACCAAATGCTAACTCCTGAGAGGTCCAGTATGATACAACCTGGAGGGGAGCACGGGTGATGACTTAGAGTAACAGTGATAGTTTAACACTTACAGTGTGCTGACTGGCTGAGTGTTCCCGAGACATGAATCCTCCCACCTGTGACCCTGGTTAATGATAGGATCCATGTCACACTCTTGAGGAAGCCGAGGCTCAGAGAGTATGAGATGACATCAGCTTTGAAAGTACTTACCGTGGCCCTGGATGCCTTTAATGCTGAAGACAATAATGAGTGACAGAGAACAGCCAAAGATGATATTAAATAGAAAGTTTTTGGACAGTGGTGGAAATGAGTGTGACTGAGTGAAGCGATTGGTTCGAATTGCAAGAACTCAGGGGTCCTGTGTTTTGTTGGAGATGGGAAGATATGGAATGAGTGATTATTCCTTCTTCGTGGGGTTTATATTTAGGGATAGTTAGCATATTTCACAGAAAGTGGTTTTCTAATGGTGTAACTACAAATTTAGTGAATATTTTATAATCTGATTTGACACGGCACCGTTGGGATGTCAGTGACTTCTTGTGAGTGCAGTAGTTTGTGAGTATGTATTCCTGGGGTGAGGGTCATTTTAGCAGATTCTCAAAAGGGCTTGTGATCTCAAAATTATTTTTTAATCCTGTGTCGGGATTGATAGTAACTTCAATAGGTATGTATTTTAATCTCTTTTTGTGAGGAAAAATCTCTAAGCCTCCTGTAAATTAAAAAATAATTTTTGACTGGCATCTTGAGGTACCCATTCAGTATTTCTCTAAAAGACCACCTTTGGAAATTACCAGTAGTTTGTGAGAAAAATACAGGGTTAGGGATGTAGCTCAGTGGTGCAGTGTGTGCTTAGCATGCATGAGACCCTGAGTTCAAGTCCTAGCACCAAGAAAAATTGCAGAGAGCTGTATTTGCTACTTTAATATATAAACAAAATTTTTTATATTTAACTCCTTGTTCTGATAAATTAATAGGAAAGTTAAATCATGGACTTGTTAAAACAGAATATAGCCAAGTATTCAGTGTCCTAAAATTGTCTAAGGTTTTTGAACTGGGTTGTCTTTTATACACATTAAAAACACTTAATCTATTAATGCATTTTCTCTCCTTTTTTCCCCAGTATAAGTGATAAATGTATACATAGTTTTTTTTTCAATACTGAAGTTTGAGCCCAGGGTCTTTGCATTGAGCTATATTTTCTGCCTATTATTTATTTATTTATACTGGGGATCGAACTCATGACCTTGTGCTTACCAGGCAGGCGCTTATGCTGCTGAGCTAAATCTCTAGCCTTTCTGCCCTTTTAAAATTTTTTATTTTAAGGCAGCGTCTCACTAAGTCACTAAAAGTTCAAACTTTTGATCCTCCTGCCTCAGCTTCCCAGAATGCTGGAATTACAGGTGTGCAACTCCATACCCACCTTGACTTCCTTTTTAAAGGATTGTTCTTTAGACTTGTGACAGTAACTCCTTTATTCACTGCTTATTGTATGGCAGGCATTGTATGCTAGGCATTTCACCTGTGATGTGTCTTAAGTCAATCATCACAGCAATCTAATGGTACAGACACTGTTATTTTCCCTAACCCTAACCCTACTTTTAGGCTACACAGCTGCAAGTGCTGGAGCAGGATACTGCCTCTGGAGAGCTAGGTGGGAAGTTGCAGAAAGAGTTTCAGGCAGTGCTGAGTAGAAGCTCGAATCCTGCTGTCTGAGCCAGGGGTACAGATGGGAGGCTTAGAAGGACCCCTGAGTGTGCTTGGATCCAGTGAGGGCTCCGCAGGTCCTTAGCGGATGGTTCACTGCTCTCCCGTCTCAGATAGAGACCTTTTTTTTTCTGAGAGGAAGTATTAAACACTGTTGCTTAATCCTTAGGAACCTTGTGACCATTTACAAAAGCGTTTTAATTTTTGTAAACAAATGAAGATTGTAAATTAAACACATAAGGCAGGGAGCATAACTGTCCTTTCCGTTTCTTCCATTATGTGGGGTCCGTCTCTTACTAAGCACGTGCTATAGATGCAGGTAACCTAAGGGGAAGATGTCTGTAAGAGCATCTGGAATTATTGATGAAACCTTCTCCTTGACAGACATAGTGGCACACATCTATATTCCCAGCACTTGGGAGGCAGAGGCAGGAGAATTGCTGAGTTCAAGGCCAGCCTGAACTGTATAGTGAGCTCTTGTCTCAAGAAGTCGCATGTTACCAAATCTAGTGAATAAGGTGGAGGAAGACACACTGCAATGAGTACAAACCTGCCTTTCTGTTGGATGGCCTCGGCAGCTGCGTTCTCTTTCTTTTCATTTATTTATTTGGTACTGAAGATTGAACTCAGGACCTTGCATATGTCAGGCGGCAGGCGCTTGTGCTACTGAGCTATATCCTTGGCACCTTTAATACATTTTTTAATTTAAATAGTCATTGTCTGTATTAGTCACCCCTTGTAGTTATTCCAGCTGTTAAAAATGGAGATACAAGGGGCTGGGGATTTAGCTCAGCGGCATAAGCACCTGTCTTGCAAGCAGGCAATCGTGAGTTCGATCCCTGGTACCGATAAAAAAAAGGAAAAAGACAAAAAAAAAAAAAAGAAAAGAAAAGAAAATGGAGATACAAGCGTAAGAGTTAAAAATCTGGATAATCATCACCAACAGCTGTGTAGTGGATTTCCTGGCTTTGCTTCATGCTTTGCCATCTAAATTACCAAAGGTCTTCTGAGCACCAGAGAGAGTCTAATTCTTGGCCAAAGCCTGTGAATGAGTTTGGCTTCAAAGCTATAGGTTACTCTGCAGGAAGAATTGGGACAAGGCTGAAAACCCATCTTCTTGGTTTTAAGGTGTAAAGTCGGTCCTTCCTCCAGTTGGAATCTCTAGAGGAGCAGGGGTTTGGGAAGCTGGGACTGGACCAGTGGCTCTGATGGTCAGGCAGGTGTTTAGGTGTGCCAATTATCAGTGTCACCTGGAAGTTCTGAAAAATGCAGCTGTGGAGACAGTGCCCTTTGCGGACCATGGGGAGAGAGAACAACAAAGCTGAATCAGTAAGCAAATCCAGTCTGAACCCAGTCTGGGAACCAGCGCCATGCTCAGGCCACTGCAGGACTGGAACAGACAGACCCCAGCCCTTCCGGCGTGCTGGCTGGCAAACAAGTACCAAGTCCTCCCTCCCACTCAACCACTGTAGGGGACAGGCTTGTCTGGAGACACACAGGCTGTGATGATAGGCTAAGCAGGTAAAATGCAATTGGACGCCTGTGGTGCTCTGGTGTTTCACTAGCATTGCAAGGCTAGGGCCAGTGGTCTGACTATGGGTTCAGATGATAGCGGTGCACAGTGTGGCATCTAGGGGGGATCTTCTGAGGGTTGCAGCCACTGTTGATTCCCTACAGTCTTGTTTTGGAAGTCCCATATTGTTTCCATTGTTTTGTTGGGTTGGTTTTACTCTCTTTTGTTTATGTCAAATCCGATGGCAGAAGCAGCTATTTCAAAGATAGCAAGATATATTATGATAGCAATTTGGGATTTACTATAGGCTTATTTGAAGTCCTTTATTGCATTCATTGTTTTGTTTTTCTTGTTGCTATTCTATTATGTTTTATTTGATTTTTACTATGTCTAAAGTTATCTGCAACTATTTTGAAGATATCAAGAAGCATTGTAGTAACTGTTGTTGATTTTGTAATGTTTTGAAGCCTTGTATCTTTTTTTTTTTTTTTAATATGGAACGCTTAACAAATTTGCGTATCATCTTTGTGCGGGGCCATGCTAATCTTTTCTGTATCATTACAATTTTAGTATATGTGCTGCCCAAGCAAGCATGAAGTCCTATATCTTTTTTTTTTTTTTTTATCAAGTTGGAGTCAGAGTCCTATATCTTTTACATTGGTTTGTTTTGATTGATTTTATTCTATTTTATCCTCTTTAAAATTAAAAAAAAAATTTCTTTATCGGTACCGGGGATTGAACTCATGACCGCATGCTTGCAAGGCAGGCGCTTATGCCGCTGAGCTAAATCCCCAGCCCCCCCCCAAATTTTTTTAAACCCCAAAAAATGAAAAATGCAGCTGTGCGGGCTTTACAGTAAGCTCCCCAAATCAGAGTCCTTGTCACCGGAGCATGAACAGACCTTCTAGAGTCAGGTGATCAGTCACCTCTGATGCGGGTGCTCAAACTGAGCAACTCCCACTTCACAGATTCCCCCAAGCACACTAGGACACACAAAACAGACCTTCGATAGGAAACTGATTTCTAGCACTTTGTAATGGCAGGGGACAGTCATCACCCACTGGTGGCAGCGCTCTGACTTCTGCCCTTCTTTCTCCTGCAGTGGCCGCTCTGTGTGTCTGTGACTTGTCCCCTGCCCAGTGTGATGTCAACTGCTGTTGTGACCCTGACTGCAGCTCCGAGGATTTCAGTGTCTTCTCTGCATGCTCAGTTCCAGTTGTCACGTAAGTATGTGACATGTGGTTTTGATAAAATTTGACTGACTAAGCCAATAAAATCTGGGAACAATAAGCGAAAAGCCCCAGGCTGAAAAACTCAAACCGAATTTCCCATGTTTTGCTTGGTGTGGAAACCATCCTGGACAGAGCAGTGTGCAAAGCAGTAGCCAGCCTTTATTTGCATCCCATAATGTGGGCAAAAGAGAAGCGTGTATGTGTTGCTTAGAGTACGGTGAGCCGTTTCCCCTGGAGTCCTGAACAGATCTGTGTCCTACATTTTGCATCAGTGACAGTGTCACGTGGAGGGGGAGAGTGCAGTTTAATTTCATAGCTCTTGCTGTGGACCTAGCACTAGTAACAAAAATAACCGAGCAGATAGCAATGTTTTGTTTATGCTCTGTGAAGTGTAAGTCTACCAGGAGTTCTCTCTGCTCACCTCAGAACAGAGGCTCCCTGTGGCCTACACTGCAGAGATAAGCTGCTCTGAATGGTTTGTTCTCAAATTTCAGAGCGTTTTGGAAAAAAATTAGCATTTCAGAAAGGTTTGTTTATTCAGGATGGACCAACTTGCCATTCAAAGACAGGGAATGTAAATTTAGCCGAGTAGCACATTTTAGCAGTTGACACTTGGCAGGTTGAATCTTTTTTGGAAGTCCCTGGTTTTTTCCCATGAGAACCCATTTTACTGATCCAATGGGAAATTGAATCTATTTCTAATGCTGTCAAAGCAGCAAGCAAGCAAGCAAGAAAACGAAAAGAAGCTAATGGGGCGGTGTAGTCAGATTAATTTTCTAACTACAGCATGCTTCAGTCTGTGTTGAAAATCAGTCTGCGCTCCTGCCTAGGTAAGTGCAGGAGCCTAGGAGTGGGACTTCTACTTTAACCTGGGACCATCTTTAAAATGTCATTTTTCTTGCAGTCAGTATGATGATTTTAGATGTAGACTCCAGCAAACTTTTTCTGTAGGGGCCAGATAATAACTACTTCAGTCTTCACGGTCAGTGGACCTGTGTTACAGCTTCTCAACTTTACCTTGGTTGAACAAACACAGTTAAAGATATGGAACTGAGAGATGGGTGACTGGCTTTCCAGTGTAACTATAAACACAGGCCAGTTTGCAGACCCCCAGTGTAGAAAACTGCTGAATCCACTGTGCCCTCAGCAAAGAACCTGAGCATTTTTCTGAGTTAGTTTTGTTTCTTTTTCCTAAATATGAAGTAGGGAATTAACTAAATCAAAAATCATAGGATTCTCATTATGTAGATTCCAGCTCATAAATCAGTTTGCTTGCATTTGTCAAACTGTCAACAGTTTCCCCGTTAGATGGCAGTGTCACAAGAAAAGTGCACATGAGAAACATGTCCTTCATGTCTCAGCGGTGCCTAGAATGAGTGAAGGGGCAGAACTCTGGTAGGAGGTTTGCTTGGCATGATTTCCATCCCTGGCACTGTGTAGAGAAACCCAAAAAACGAAAACACAAAAAACAGAGTTGACTAGATGAAGAAACTTCTCCCCTTCACCCCAGAACAATTCTTGTGTCCCCTCTGACTTCTTCTGTGGTCAGTTGAGGCCCCTGACTGTGCCCCGTCAGCCTCCTCTCTGCGTATCCTAAGCCTTTCTTGAGCACTTCATGCTGCCAGCACCAGAGACTGGGAGGGAAGGGGCCGACCCTCCCCTCCGCCCTTCCCTACTCCCTCACCCCCCAGTTAAAGAGTCCATGGCGGATTGAGGAAGATTGATGAATGTGTGGCAGTTTCTGCTCCGAGCCCCAGGAGAACTGGAGGAGGGGCATCTGACTGGGCCAGACAGGCCAGGGGAGGCTTTCTAGAGAGGAAGACCTGAGTTGCTCCATGTCCTGAAGGACAAGTAGGAGTCAGCCAGCATGGAGCTGGGGGCCATTCCAGGCCAAGGGAGCTGCCTGGCCAGAGTCCTGGGGTGTAGGAGGGTACAGCAGCTTTGTGGGGCTGAGAGGGGTAGGGCGCCATGCATGGGGAGGAGAGAGCAGGACGTGAGTGTGTGTGTGTGTGTGTGTGTGTGTGTGTGTGTGTGTTAGACTTCATCCTGCGGTCCCGTCTTACATAAGTCTGCAGCAGCGTGCACAGTGGATCACGGAGGCCAAACGTGGTGCAGAGAACCAAGTAAGGTGCTGTGGCAATGAGACTCGGTGCCCCCCATCTCTTCCCCATGCCCTGTACCCCAGGCTATGACCACAGGACTGGAGAGACGTTCGGGAAGGGATGCTGAGAGACTGCCTGGGGCCGGAGGGCAGGCCAAGTGCAGCTGAAGTCAGCAGCTCCAGTCTGTGTAAGCCTTCCTGCCCTGGAGGCCTCGCACCCACTCTTGCTCCTTCTGCTTCTGAAGCTTACACCTCATCTTGTCTCATTAAGTGAAAACCCTTCAAAAGGTCTCATTAAGTAGTTGGGCATGGTGGTACATGCTTGTAAGCCCAGCGTACAAGCAATTGAGGCAGGAGGATTGCTGTGAGTTCAAGGCCAGCTTGGACTACATAGCGAGACCCTGTCTCAAAAACAAAACAAAAAAAAGGTCTCATTATATATAGATCCCTTATTAAATGGCTAAACCATTAATACTATATTAAATGGTTTCATCATTGTGGTACCACATACCTGTAATCCCAACACTCTGGGAGGCTGAGGCAAGAGGATCACAAATCCAAGCCCAATTTCTCTCTCTCTCTCTCTCTCTCTCTCTCTCTCTCTCTCTCTCTCTCTGCCTTTTTAAGACAGGGTTTCACTCTGCAGTTCAGGCTGGCTTTGAGCTTACTTTGTAACTCAGGTTAGTCTTGAACTCCCAAGAATCCTCCTGCCTCAGCCGTCCAGGTGCTGGGAGTATAGATATGCACCACCATACCTGACTGCAGCCTAATTTAATAAAAATATTTTGTCCCCCCCAAAAAAAAAAAAAAAAATATATATATATATATAGCTCAGTGTGAAAGCTGTGGGTCCAACTCCCACTATCTTATCAATCAACCAATCAATCAGTCAATAATAAGACTTCATCATAGACCAGATTCTAGTCAGAATCTGGTTTACCAATTTGGTTTACCAATCCTCTTCTGCTGGTGTAAGTTATTCCTAATTTTCCCCAATTATAGATAAAGCTGCAGTGACATCCTGCCACATGCATCTTTATAAATGTCTCTTAGGACATGTTCTCAGACGTGGAATTGCTGAGTCAAAAGGTACATCATTTAAGCCTCCTGCAACATGCGCAAATTGCCCTTCAGAAGGCATCCGAGTCTGGACTCAGTGGCACTGCAGTATGAATGGCGACTTCTTGTCCTCTTCCCAAGACCAGACTCTGCCGTTAGGTTTCCACTGGCTGGGCTGGCGTAGAGGGTTTGAGACGGGAGCCAGTAGGAAATGCCAAAAAGCGTATTTGATAACATGGGACAGGCTAGACATGATAATTAATTAAGGCTTTAAAGCGATATGTAGATATAATACCACTTTTGTTATAACTTTATCTTCAAACCCTATCTATGTGTGTTTCAGATTGATTGGGGTTTGTTAATCTGGGATTGACAGAGGACCTGACTGTATCATAATTTCCAAGCTATAAATTTTACAGATGATTTTACATTTTCTGATTTTTTACAATCTTTTGAAGATAGTTTTATTTTAAAGATGAGGAATTTTGGATCTATTCTGGGTACTCTGGGTACTTATGAACAATCTAAAGTTCTAAAAGACTTTACATAATTGATGTTTTCAGAGTTTACAAGGTTCATTTATATCAGAATTACACCCCGATCCATATTCCACACTTGAGAAGGTTTCCTTAGAGGTTAACACACTTGTCTTAACTTTTTCCTGTAATGGAAAACATTTCAAATGCGGAACATTTTAACACTGAATAAACTAAGTAACAATGTATTCTGTTTTAACATTGTGCTTTCAGAAGTACCTTTCATGTACCGTCTGACAATTTTAAAATACTCTTGCTAAAACCGTGGTTATACCTTCAAATTTCTACTGTTCTTTTTAATTTCCAGGGGAGACAGCCACTTCTGCAGTCAGAAAGCAGCCATCTACTTTTTGAATTTTACAGCAAACCCTCCTCAAAGGGTATTTAAACTTGTTGACCAGATCAATCCATCTATTTTCTGCATTCATACTACAAACTGTAAGTATTTGATGTGGACTTAGAGTATTTTGTGAAACTTTGGAAAAATTTTCTTTAAAATTTATGAAAAAAATGCTTTATTCAGTTAAACTAAAAAAAAAAAATAAAACAAAACAAAACAACCCTCATCCTGTGTTTGGCTGCACATGTGTAGTGTGTATATCCTGGGGCCATTTTCCAGGTAACTGAAAATATCTGTGCAGATCCACGGCACACACAAGTTTCTTTAAAAGTACCTGTGCTATGTAGTTGCCTTTGAGTTCTTATACTTGGTTTTGAAAGTGCTCGTGCTATGTAGACATACACAGGAATCCAGATTTTTTTTTTCTTTCTGTGTTTTTTACTTTATTTCCTCTGGCGTAATGGTTGAAAATCAGGTTCAGCATCGAACATTACCTGTGGTTTCTATTTCCTTTTTCTTTTTTATTTTTACTAAGAATTTTGCATAAAAACCGGATCTTTATTTTTATCTGCACATTAGCTCAAGCCAGTGTCTTGATCTAAACTACGAATGAGTGTAAAATGTTCTCCAGATATCAAAACCCAGGGGGGCAGTTAGGGCTTTGTCTGTTGAACTGCAGCATCTCTTTGGAATGTCTTTATAGCTTTTGGTTTGTGTTCTTGTGACTGAAAACCGAGATGAGTGTGCTGTGGTGTTACCTGAAGCGACAGCTGACTGTGACTGTCACGTTCTCTGCCATCCACCAGCCCAGTGATCACACCCCACCCTCTGTTTTTTTTTTTTTTTTTTTTTTGTCTTTTTCCTTTTTATCAGTACCAGGGATCGAACTTACCACTGCCTGCTTGCAAGGCAGGTGCTTATGCCGCTGAGCTAAATCCCCAGCCTCCACACCCCACCCTCTGCACACAGCACATTTTCCCCTGCCATCCCTGGCGGGGAAGGTGATATATTCCCTGTGCCGTGCTGTTTACCCGAAGGCCGGGAAACCATGCTGTTCCCCTGTGGGGAGCAGCCTGGCCTAGGAGCTGTTTACTTAACGAGCCCCCAGAAGTCCGAGGAAAAGGGAACATGCAGAAAGAGACTATTAACATCAGCCTTAATGCTGACACCGGCTTGAAAATATTACAGATGCCATATGTGGTACATGTTTTATGCTGATTTAAAATACTTTTTCTGAAAACAGATAAACCTGCATTATCCTTTATTAATCCAGAAGTGCCTGATGAGAACAGTTTTGATAGGTGGATGAAAACATCGGAAGGTTTTACATCAAATGTAGAAGCAGATGTTTCTTTTACGGCCAAATCAGATGCTTCACATACTACTAAATATGAGGTGAGCCGAGAATTCGAGTTTATTCACGTGTTAAAATACCCTGTCCTTGTGAGTTAACTTTCAGTACACTACCAGCAAAGCTGGCTTCCCCAAGATGTTGAATTGGTGTCATCGACTTAAAACCTTACTGTTCCTATTTCTGTTTCTGTTTTGTTTTTTGAGGCAGGGTGTGGCAGTGTAGCTCAGGGTGGCCTTGAACTCTCAGTGGTTCTCCTGCCTCAGCTTCCCAGTCCCGAGTGCTGGCATTACCAAGATACACCATCATGCTTGGCATTAATGTTCTAAGTTGTGAAAATTACATAGGACATACTCTGTGTTAAGCTTACATTTTGCCTCTGCAGAATTCTTTGTTCTTAACCTTAAGAGATGCAAAAATGCTTGAGGCCTGCTGCTAGGAACATTAAATGGATTGGCTGGGTGCTTGCCTCAGAATTGTATTTAGTCTAATAGAGTTTAGAAAGATGGGCACTATTTTCTATTCCTGAGTAAGCCACTGAAATGTGACATACATGGCTGGGGATTTAGCTCAGCGGCATAAGCACCTGCCTGACAAGTGTGAGGTCATGAGTTTGATCCCTGGTACCACACACACACACAAAGAAATGTGACGTATAATATTGAATAAACTTTTGTTTTTCAAAAGTGTGTTTTAGTTAGGCATTGCAGTGCACACCTGTAATCCCAGCACTCAGGAGGCTGAGGCAGGTGGATTGCTGTGAGTTTAAGGTCAGCCTGGGCTACCCAGTGAGTTTCAAGGCCAGCCTGACCTACATAGCAAGACCCTGTCTCAAAAAAAAAGTTTTAAAAAGGGAAGTATAGAAGCACGTGTACTCATTCTGCTAGGGTCACAGGCGTGTGCCACCACACCCAACTTAGTGCACTGTTTCTTAGAGCAGGTGTTTAGAGATCCCTGAGTAAAATTAAAAGTCCCTGGTCACCAATAAAATTCACCCTGAAGGGGCTGGAGTGTGGCTCAGAGATGAGTTCCAGCTTGTGCTCAGCACGCATGAGGCCCTGGGTCCATATCCCAAACCAAAAAAAATTTTTTTTCCACTGACGAATTCAAGGTAAACAAACCAGAATTGTTAAATAAAATTTTTTAAAAATTCATACTGCAGATTACTGTGTATGGAGTATTGCTGTGTATTCTTCCTGATTTTTTAAGTGCAGCTGTGAAATACAATATATAGCAGTTGGACTTATAGTTCCCACATTGTTCTAGAAAATTCTTTTCTCAGTGATAGGCATGCACCTCTTCCCTGTGGATGCGAAACCTGTTTCTTGGGCATTTTCCATGTGCTGAGCGCGTAGACCTTTTCAGATGTTACCAATACACCCTGGGAGTGACACATCATTGTCCCATTTACCTGAGGAGAAAAATACAGGCAGTGACTTTTCAGATCTAGTGCGAGGGCAGCATTTCCGAAGAATCCCTCTCTGTATTCCAGCCATTCCCTTCTGCCAGCCCTGGGGACTGAACCAGGGCCTTGTGCATGCTAGGCTAGGGCTATGCTGCCATTCCCAGCTGAAGCTATTCTCCTCCAACGGGCATTTGTTTGTATTTTCGCTGTTAGAAATAATGAGCACTTTCTGTGTGTGTATATATTCATGCAGTTGTCTGTGCAAATCCTTAGGATGTGTCTCTAAAAGAGAGTTTAGCTTGGTCACAGCGGGCAGGAATTTTAAACACCGACAAGCAGACTGCCACTGAGAAAGACAGCAGGGGCTTGTCCTCCCAGTTCCCAGAGAAGACACATGTTCCCAAAACCTAATTGGCACCAAGGCATTTGGGTGAACTTTCAGATTCACAAAAATTGTCTACGTGGCCAATAGCTATACATTTGGGTTTTGAACTTCATAGAATTCTATGGGGGATTGGTTGTGGGAAAAGAAGGTGTTCTTTCACAAAACTCACCCATAGAATACTGATTCACAGAAACTGTATAATTTTAATGTAAACCATAGCTGCTCTTGAATTAATGCTTGTGAAACACAACCACGCGAGCCCTGTGCCAGCCTTGTAGCTCCTGTCTGCTGAGGCACACACGTAGTGTCCCGTGTACCCTGCCAGACACACAGCTGGCAGTGTGAGCTCACACAAACACCTCCTTAAAGGTGGCATGTCAGGTACCCGCGCTGGGTGGGTTGGCCACACCTGGCTTTCACTCCCCAGAGTGACCCTGGTCGAGGCCTGGGCAGCATGGGGATGAGTGCTCACTCCGGCTGCTTCTGTGTTTGCAGTACGGGGCTCCTCTGCAGGCTTCAGCTGCATCTCCGCATCCCTTTCTGAGATTCCCTTCGCCTCTCACGTCGGCTCTGTGCACGGATAACAACCCTGCAGGTAATTGAGTGACTGTTGTTTCCATAAAGAGACTTTGCAGCTAGTTCATATCTGAAGCAGTCGTGATTAAACGGGTTCACAACTAGAAACAGAACCTTGGGGTTGAAAGAGGCCACGAAGGTTTTGGAATTCAGTACCCTGCCAGTGCAGAAGTTTTTCCAGCCATAGGCCTTCACTGTTTGAGCGCTGGTCGTGATGAGCCGCTCACTACCTGCAAACAGCCCACTTGGCTGGCAAAGTGGTCCTTTTCCACTGGGCACCTCCTGTGTGCTGCTCACTGTGGGAAGTGGTGCCTGGGGTTTTCCAGGCAGTCTTCTCAGTGATCCTTGGAGGTGAGGTTGGAATCTACTTTGGTGGGGAACTGGAGAGGCTGAGGCTTTCTCGCTGAGCTCACGTGATCATGAGATGACAGAGCAGGGACGGAGCCATGCAGTCAGCCCACCGCTGTGCTCTGCTGCACTCCCTCGCCTCCCACAGGCCTTGCTGCTGCTTTCGGGAGTGATGGGGAGCCACAGACCAACGCCAGAGCCCCACCATGAAGTGGCTAAGCAGCAAACAATAGGAATTGTGTGGTGGCGCAAACTTGTAATCCCAGCACTTGGAAGGCTGAGGCAGGAGGGTCGCCATGAGTTCAAGGCCAGCCTGGGCTACATAGTGAGTTCAAGTATAGCCTCAACTATATAGCAAGACCCTGTCTCATAAAAACCAAATCAAAAGAAAAAGAGGAGAATGTATTTTTGCTAAGAAGACGCTTATCCTTGAACGTGCTGGGAACAAGGCAAAATAAAACCAACCTGAGATACTGTTTTTACCTATTAGATTGACAGTGCTCAAAAACCTTGAAGCTGTAGCCAAGCAGCCACACATCTCCATGGCTGGTGCGGCTGTGCGTCGTCCCACCCCTGGAGGGACACTTTGCCTGTGCCATCTATCAAAACTATAAACAATCGTGTGCTTCATTCCAGCTGTTAAACCCCAAGGCGCTGATCCTGCCGAAATGCTGGCCCTTGTGCCAGGTGGCAGGTGGAGCAAAGGCAGAGGAGACACAGGTGTCCGTTGTAGGAGGCTGGGGACTCGAGGTGCCCAGCTCCCACAGGACACTAACCCAACAAAAGGAGGCAAGGAAGCTCTTCATGTTCTGAGACAGACTGTCAGGCAGGCTCATTGTTCAGTGGAAAAACAAAGGGTGGATTAGTGTATCTAGCACGCATTTGTTTCCAAGAGTGGAAAAAGTAATGTAGACCTGGTTTTACATACAGATTTTCTTGCATTTGCGTAGTCTATTTCCAGAAAGAGGCGCTGGAAACTTGCTGCTGGCGTCGGGCTGGGGCGAGGGCTGGAGCTGCGGACCACTCGGAATGTTTTTGTGCCTTTCAAGTTGTGAACTTTGTACCTGGCTGACAACTAATTTTTAATCTGTACTTCAGACATATTGCACATCCATGTTACGGCTTATTTTGCAGTTTTACCTAGGTGACAGTTACCGCTGGACAGCTGAAACCTTTCTTTGTATCTTTTCCTCTCGAAATGTTATGATTGCAGCATTTCTGGTGAACCAGGCTGTTAAGTGCACCAGAAGTGTAAATTTAGAACAGTGTGAAGAAATGGAGGCCCTTAGGATGGACTATTACAGCAGCCCTATGATTCTGAGGGTAAGGATTATTTTGAAGTAGAACTGACTCACTAGGTATGTTTTCAGTTCTCTGTGCCATTTTATTTTATTTTGATTTTTTTGAGACAGGGTGTCACCAACCAGTTTAGGCTGGTTTTGAACTCACTATGTAGCCTAGCCTGGCTCCGAACTTTCCTTGAGGCTCTTGCCTCAGCCTCCTGAGTGCTTGGGTTTCAGGTGTGCACCACAACACGTGGTTCTTGTGCCCTTTTAAAATATGACAAGTATAGAATAATTTCAGTGTGTGATTGAAATTTCTCAAGGACTTTGGTATCAGTGATTATTGAACTAATTCTTTTTTTTTTTTTTTTTTTTTTTTTGTCTTTTTCCTTTTTATTGGTACCAGGGATCGAACTCACGACTGCCTGCTTGCAAGGCAGGTGCTTATGCCACTTAGCTAAATCCCCAGCACCCTGAACTAATTCTTTAAATAATCTTTATTTTTATATAGTTAGCTATATTTTACTTTTACTTTTTTCTTTCATTCTTTTGGATGGTAACCCGATGTCTGTCTCCTAAACAAAACAAAGTCTTTACCAGGAACATAAAAACTTTAGAAATTTAAAATATCTTACTTTTTTTTTTTTCTTTTTCTCTTTTTTATTGGTACCGGGGATTGAACTCACAACCGCCTGCTTGCAAGGCAGGTGCTTATGCCACTGAGCTAAATCCCCAGCCCCAGTAATATAAAATATCTTAATGACAGAAATAATTATAATAGAACCAGAAAGAGTTCTCTGTGAGAAGCAAACCAGAAAGATAGAATGCACTGTCTGTTTGACGGTGAACTTGGCAGATAGAAAAAGATAGGATCGGGGTTTCTGAAGCAGGAAAAAGAGGGGGTGAGGTAGTCCCCTTCTCTCCAGGCAATAGAGAAAGAGTAGGGCCCTGGCCCCCTGGACAGATGACAGGGAGGTTTGCAAGAAGAGGTGTTTTCCACAATTAAAAACCATGTGATTATTGGGCTAGGCGTGGTGGTGCATGTTTGTAATCTCAGCACTCGGGAGGCAGAGGCAGGAAGCTGGGAGCAAGTTCAAGGCCAGCCTGGGCTACATGGTGAGCTGCTGTCTCAAAGACCCCAAAACAAAACAAAACAAGATTATTGTCCAAGTCTTCCCTCTCCCCATTTCTTTTGGTGTATGTGTGTATAGTTCTGGGATTTGAACCCAGGGCCTTGTGCATGCTAGGCAAGCAGCATGCCACAGGGCTAGATCCCAAGCTTGCTTTTTTTTTTTTTTTTTTTGGAATAGGATTTTACATTTTCGATCATGCTAAGTAGCTGGGATTTTAGGTGTGTGCCACTGCACCTGGCTCGATTTCCATTTTTGGGATGTGTGTGTGCGTGTATGGTATAGGGATAAGCAGTCCATAGCTGCATACTCATTTGGGCTTCTGTATTCAGAAGCCAGTTTGAACTTTCTGCTCCCTGCTCCCCTCTGCCCTCTTCTTGTGAGTCACCCTCTGAGCCTATGGGTTCTTCCAGTTACTCTGGCTTCTCATAGTGTCTTAGGCATCCAGCTAAGTTCTTAGCACAGAGCTTCCCCAACATGCCTGTTCACCCCCTCTCAAAGCTCATCATGGCCCAAGGGTGTCTGGGGATGAGGTTGTGAGAGATGAAGGACAGAAAGTGAGAGAGGTGAAGGACAGGAAGTGGAGGAGGATGAAGGTCAGGAAGTGGAGAGGGATGAAGGACAGGAAGTGGAGGGAGTTGAAGGACAGGAAGTGGAGGGGGTTGAAGGTCAGGAAGTGGAGGGGGTTGAAGGTCAGGAAGAGGAGGGGGATGAAGATCAGGAAGTGGAGGGGGATGAAGGTTAGTAAGTGGAGGGAGATGAAGGTCAGGAAGTGGAGGGGGATGAAGGTCAGGAAGTGGAGGGGGATGAAGGTCAGGAAGAGGAGGGGGATGAAGATCAGGAAGTGGAGGGGGATGAAGGTTAGTAAGTGGAGGGAGATGAAGGTCAGGAAGTGGAGGGGGATGAAGGTCAGGAAGTGGAGGGGGATGAAGGTCAGGAAGAGGAGGGGGATGAAGATCAGGAAGTGGAGGGGGATGAATGTCAGTAAGTGGAGGGAGATGAAGGTCAGGAAGTGGAGGGGGATGAAGGACAGGAAGTGGAGGGGGTTGAAGGACAAGAAGTGGAGGGGGATGAAGGTCAGGAAGTGGAGGGGGTTGAAGGTCAGGAAGAGGAGGGGGATGAAGATCAGGAAGTGGAGGGGGATGAACGTCAGTAAGTGGAGGTAGATGAAGGTCAGGAAGTAGAGGGGGATGAAGGTCAGGAAGTGGAGGGGATGAAGGACAGGAAGTGGAGGGAGATGAAGGTCAGGAAGAGGAGGGGGATGAAGGTCAGGAATTGGAGGGAGATGAAGGACAGGAAGTGGAGGGGGATGAAGGACAGGAAGAGGAGGGAGATGAAGGACAGGAAGTGGAGGGGGATGAAGGACAGGAAGTGGAGGGGGATGAAGGTCAGGAAGTGGAGGGGGATGAAGGTCAGGAAGTGGAGGGGGATGAAGGTCAGGAAGTGGAGGGAGATGAAGGTCAGGAAATGGAGGGGATGAAGGTCAGGAAGTGGAGGGGGATGAAGGTCAGGAAGTGGAGGGGGATGAAGGTCAGGAAGTGGAGGGGGATGAAGGTCAGGAATTAGAGGGAGATGAAGGTCAGGAAGTGGAGGAGCTCTGCCTTTGGGAGAGCTTGGCCGTGTTGGGAGACAAAGTTTGGCACTGGGAGGGCTCACCATGGCAGGAGGACAGGAAGAGGCCATGGGGAGCTCCTGGGCCGGTGCCTCCTGAGAGTGGCCAGGAGGGTGGGGTCTGTGTCTCCCCTTCCCATGATTCCCTTCTGGCAGTGATGGCCACACGGCAGGGTGTGATAATGGCACCAGCTGGCTGAGCTGGCCTTTGGTGCTTCCCACCAGAAGGAAGTGAAAAGGGAAGGAAGCTGCAGTGGCCGTGACCAGGTGCAGACACGTGGGCAGCCCGTCGTGGTTAAGGCAGTTGTGGTGTCCTGCTTGTGAGATCCTGGAGTGTGAGTGCGGCCTTGACTGAGGTCTGAAAAAGCTATGAAAATGCTCTTTCAACAAATGCTTTGTTGTACCTAACAGATTTTGTCATGATTTCTTTTTGTCTAGGCGCCCAATTCACTGACACAGGTAAGAGTATTTCTTAATGGGGGGTGAGAGGGTTTATAATTCACGTATAACTACCTCTTGTTTTTGAGGGTATTTTGGTGCGCACTAGCCAAGCTCCAGCCACCAGGTCTTTATGTTTCGCTCTGCCTCCCACACTTCGATAGGTCGGGTTGTCCCAAGCTTTTTGTTATTGGAGCCCTGTCGCTTCTGTTATAGTGCAGAGTCTCTGACAACCCTTTGCTTCACAGGTCCCAATCACTGTCCAGTCCATCACTGTTCAATCTCTGAATAAAACGCTGACCCGCCTGGAGGACAAGGGCCCACGGCTGCCGTCTCTCAATGGTTCGGGGCACGACAGCATCTGCATTAATGTTGTACTTGAAGTAGGTGCCCAGTGTGGCCTTTCAAGCGCCGCCTGTCTTTTGGGGTAGCGGGATGCTCTCCACAGGGGTCCCAGGCCCACCTTGTGGTGGCCCTGCTGTTGACCTGGTCTCCTCCTTGTCTTTGTGCAAGAGGGTACTTCCTTACTTGTCGCACAAACCTAGCAACTTGTGAGAAGGCATCCCAATTTTGTCATTGCTATCACTGTATTTGTGGGGACTCATCTCCTCTGTGGAGCTGGGCTGGTCACCGAGCGGCTCTGGTGACCCCATCCACTGCGTAAGGCTGAGGCAGCACTGCTCGGATCTGCTCGGACACCAGAGGAAGCCCGCCAGACCTGGGAAGGACGTGGCGCTTATGGCTCCTCTGTTTGCTATTTGTTAATAGCACAGCTGCTGGAATGTCAGGGGGCCCGGTGCACTTGGGGTTTCATTCTGTTGCAGGTGAAGTACAGCCTCACGTACACAGACGCAGGCGAGGTCACCGGGGCCGGCCTCTCACTGCTTCTGGGGACCCTTAGCCGTGCCACGGTCCCCCTGCAGCAGAAGTTTGAAATTAGCTTCATTCAGGTAAGTTAGAGCAATTTTGTCCAAGTTTTAACCACTGAGTTAAAAAGAAATCATCACTTCTTAATAAGGCGAAATCAGTTTGCCAGCGTGACCCCATCTAACCCTTTGTACTGAACGCAGGGCTTGTGCGCCGCATGGGGTTTGTAACACTCCCAAGCCCGGCCTGCAGCTTCCTCCCTGGAGCGGGGTCCCCTGCCTGTTCACTTGTTCTTTTACAGCATGAAGTACTCCCACACTGAGCAGATGTATTTATAGTTCTGAGTAGGGGGAGAGGTTGTTTTATAGGTTGGTAATTCTAGATCTTATTACGAAAAGCATTTCATTTCTCTCCCTGCTGTTTCCTTATTAAAATGAGCATCTGTGAGGGGAGGCATTTCCTCATTGTTTTTTTTTAGCAAAACACAAGGCCCGTTGCTCTCAGCGGCAACCCTGGTTACCTGGTAGGGCTCCCACTTGTCGCAGGACTGCAGCCCCGGAAGGGATATCCTTTGCATACCGAAGTCTCAAGAATGGGACAGACAGCTGGCCGCAGCTGTCTGCAGCTTTCTCCGGACCACCTGGGTGGAGGTTGGTGGACACTGGTGCCTGGGGACAGTACATAGCATAGGAAGATGCCCATGTCTAAAACACTTCTGAAGACAAGCATCGACGTTTGGATGCATTGTTTCACATTTAAACAGAGCCTCCTAAACCAACTTGGTGGTTTTGAGAACTTGGAATTAATTTGAAGGGCCACTTTCTGAGGCCGTTTCTCCTGAGGATGTTCTAATCAAAGCAGATAGTCACAATGAAGCTTTTTGCTATTGTTGGTGCTGGTAGGTTGGTCTGGATTTCACTCGTGTCTCAGGTCCCACAAATGACACTGAGTGATACCATGTTCTTATCTGAAAATCAGGATGTTCTGGCACTGAGCAGTTGTCCCTTAACCCTCAGTGAAAGTCTGCGATTATCCAGAGCACGAATAGGTACGGACAACTCACTGTTCTCCGTAGCACAGCTGAGCAAGACTGCCTTGTGGCTGATGGGCTCCGGACCCCTGTGCTGTTTGGTTACAACATGCAGACGGGCTGCCAGCTCAGGTGAGAGGTGACTCGGCCTCAAGGCTTGTGTGCAGCAGAAAGCACAGTGCCCTGCCTCTCCCCACTGGAACTAGGGCTCCGTCTCAGCAGCTGAGCAAGCCTGCAGAAGGCACATGGCATCCAGCACTGTTACTCACCAGTGGTGTGACAGTCACAGACGTTTCCTTCCCAAAGGTGGCCAGGGAAAAACTGCAAAGCTTCGTATGTTTTATGTTCACTTGAGCTCAGAGCAAAAATATTTCCCCTGAAAGTCTGTCCCATATTTCCGAACTTTAATATACATAGCACAGGAAAACCAGTGAAAGGAAGCCTCAGTGTACTGTTTTTATCTTTTTTAATCAAATACTACATAATATGTGATGTCAAGGAGCCCTGTGCAGCTTGTCGTTCAGCCGGAGCTCTCACTCCTGTTTGTGCCGTCCTAGAGGACACTACTTTCAACCGCTATAGCTGGTCTTTGGGACTCACCCCCAGGTCTTCAAATAACCCATGCATCATAGTATTTCTTGGCTTTTTTTTTTTTTTTTTTTTCATACCAGTACTTGAACCCAGGGCCTTCACACTGAGCTACCTCCCCAGGCCGCAGCTGGCTGGCTTGTCTGTCTGTCTGTCTTTCTTTCGTTCTTTATTTCTCTCTCTCTCGCTCGCTTTCTTTCTTTCATTCATTTATTCACTTATTGACAGTATCTCTAAATTACCAAATTGCCCAGGGTTCAGCAGTGTTAAGGAACACGTTAGCTGCTATCAAAAGATCCCCCTTCCGGAGAGGGAGAAACTAATGAAAACTGAGAGGCATGTGTTTCATGGAAACCAGTGAAAACTTCTGGTGGGGCTGGGGGTTTAGCTCAGTGGTGTAAGCGCCTGCTTGGCAAACATGAGTTTGATCCCTGGTACCAAAAGAAAGAAAAACCCCAAAAAACTGCTGGTGGGCTGGGTATAGTAGGTCCTGCCTATAATCCTAGCTTCTAAGGAGGCTGAGGTAGGAGTTAGTAAGTTCAAGGCCAGTCTGGGCAACTTCTGGAGGCTTAGTGTCAAAAATCGAAACATAGCTGGGGGTTTAGCTCAGCGGTGTAAGTGCCTGCCTGGCAAGTGCAAGGTCGTGAGTTCGATCCCCAGTACCAAAAAAAAAAAAAAAACATAAAGGGCTGCTCATGTAGCCCTTCACTCCCTGATTTGAATTGCCAGTGTCATATGCACAAAAAAGTAAAAACTATAAAAACAACTGCTGACACAGTTCCTCGGCCCTTTTTCTCCCCAAAGGCTGAGCCCTGCCATCCCGTGCCGGCTTGTGGCACAGAGGGTGAAGGACCTGCTGAAGGGCCAGGGCTTCCCAGATTTCGTGGCCCCATTCGGCAATTCCAGAGCCCAGGACGTGCTGGACTGGGTGCCTGTCCACTTCATCACCCACGCACCCACGGTCACGGTAAAGGGGGAAAAGCTGAGGCCAGGCGCGAGTGGTCTCTTCTACCTCTGGGTTGGGTGTCAGGGGCAGCTGGGGACACTTGTGAAGGAGGCGGGTGGCACTGGGCAGACCTTTGCTGTCTTGTTGGTGTGGCCTGAGCTCTGAATATTGATTTTGTCCACTGTGGGCAGGCAGCCTCAGCCCCCTAAGGGGCCTGGGGCACAGGCAGGTGCCCCCATGCCCACTTCTGGCCAGCACCTTTCCAGGTGTGAGCCTGTTTGCTTGTCTGTGAAATGAGAATGTCCGCTCCAACCTTGGGCACTGTCACCTGGGTTAATGGAGTTAATGCGGCTGAGTGGGTGGCTGCTGGCAAGTGGGTGGTCACCCCATAACTTGGAACTGCTACCGATCGCCATCCTGTTCCTAAAGGCTGGGCATCCCTCATTCCTAAACCCTGAAATGCTCCATAGTCTGGAACCTTCTGAGTCCCCTGAGTGAACAGCTCCACCCTGGCCTTAAGTGACAATGGTAGGGAGACACCAGCAATAAGAATACTGCATGAAATTTCCTTCAGCGGTGGATGAGGAGTGTATGCAACAGGGTTCTCGGGTAGACGTGGGCCCCAGCCCTAGGCTGTCCCTCAGGAGTACACGCAAATATCCGCAGACCAGAGAAACTCCAGAACTACTCCTGGTCCCCAGCATTTTGGAGAAAGGGTGCTTGCCCTGCTCACTGTCATCAGTGCCACACGAATCTGCCAGGGGTAGCACGAGGCCACCCCCAGATGAGCTGTCTGCCTCCCTGTCCGCGCCGCTGCCACCCACACCCCCTGCTCTACCTGGGCAGCCCACCTAGAACGCTTTTAATGCCAAGGTTCCCCAGCGAGTTTCATGGAAGCCGACCCGGTCACGTGCCTCCTCGCCCACCTGTTCTTTTGTCTTGGCAAAGTGTGGGCCGTTCTGTCACCACGGTGTGCTTTCCGTCTTATGCCCTAATTGCCCAGGCTTTCCTGTCACCATGCTCTGGGTGCATTTGTAGCAGGGCATGATGACCTGAGGACACTCGGAAGCCATCTGCCCTCCCTGCAGAGTGCCCTGTGAAGACCTGAGACCGGGTCTCTGTCCCTGCTGCTCAGCCTTGGCTCAGTTCTGCCCCCGGGGAACCCAGCAACTCGCTCCTGGATTCTTGGCACTGGGTGAAGGCACCAGTTAGGATGGTTCCCCTGGAGGCGGACAGGCTAGGGACAGAGGTGGCACTGCTTATGGCTGTGTCGACCTGGGGAGCTCAGCGGCCTGGAGCAGGTTTGTGTGAAACCCAGGTGTGGGCAGTGTGGAGCACGGCCACACTGGGGCCCAGCAGCTGCACGAGGCAGTTTCTCCTGATAATAGGGTGCTGGCAAGGACCTTGCAGCCCACACAGTTTTTAAAAGGCTGTTCGGAGCTAAGCAGGCCATCGGTGCCTTTTGGCAGGCACTGGGTATATTAGCAGGCCTGCTGGGTTTTCATGCCCTGTGAGCAGTATTCAGAAGAGTTTATATGGAGAATTTCAAATGCACAGAAAAGTACCCTTATGCCATGGGGTCCCCGCCTACCCACCAGGCGGCTTAAAGTTATCACATTTTCCAGCTGAAGACGCTGAGGCAGCACCAGGGTCCGCAGAGCCCAGCCCCCCTTGTTCCCCTCAGGGCCACCCAAGCAGAGATCCAGCCTGAGCTCTCGGTGCTCAACATACAGGCACTGCCCAATGTCCAGGATCACATTTTAGGTGCCAGTCGATGAAATCAGACAAATGGGAAGAACGTTTAGATGTCTTCTGAGAGCATTGTAATGACACGCAGTCAGGTTTAACTTCTGTTAATTTCCGTTCTGTGCACCCCACGGCCCTCTCCTGGGGCAGGTGTAGACAGGCAGGAGAAGTTGGAGCTCTTAAGGTCCCCACTCTCGGCCTCTGGAAATCAGTGGGGATGGGAGAGTCACACTGGGTGGTGCAGTATTTTTGGAGCACTGAGTGCATTAATGATAAGTGCTTTGTCAAAGCTGTTTCGATCTGCACTTCTGGAGTCTACTCTCTTGCTCAGAACATTTTGTGATATGTGGGACATTTTGTAATTAAAACTGAACTGCAGATCAGGTTTGACTTGAGGTTGTATAATGTTCTGATCACTGACTGGCATCTCTTCTGCAGGATTCCTGTCAGCTCCCAGTGGCTCTAGTCATAGAAGTGAAGTGGACTAAGTACGGGTCACTACTGAACCCCCAGGCCAGAATAGTAAATGTCACGGCGAATCTCATTTCCTCCGCCTTTCCACAGGTGGGCCTGGCTGCCGCTTAAAAGCTGGTTCAATCCCTGGTTCCCCAGAAGTGAAAAATAAGTTGGGGCTGGAGCTCAGTAAGAGAGCAAAGCCCCCGATAAAAAAGGAAAGAGACAAAAAAAAAAAAAAAAAAAAAAAAAAAAAAAGAGAGAGAGAGAGAGAGAGAGAGAGAGCAAGGCCCTGGGTTCTGTCCCCAATACCAAAAACCAAAACCCAAAAACTATGGGTTAAGACAAAGAAGCCCAGCTGGACATGGTGGTACACACCTGTAATCCCAGCACCCAAGAGGCCGAGGCAGGAGGATACACACACACACACACACACACACACACACACACACTTCCAGAAGTAGCCCAAACAAAACCCAGGTGTGACAGGTGAAATTTATTATCTGATAAAAAAGATAAACAATCTGGAATCTTGTAACAGTTTTGCAGTCATTCTTGTATTTAAAAGGAAAAGCTCCCACAGCAAGTTTTACTGCTATCAGCCTCTGGCTTAGACTTGACCTGTGGGAGTCTCGTGAGCCCTGAGACGTGGCTGAGGCTGGCAGGGGTCAGGACGCCTGGGCAGACCCTGTCCCTCCTCCCTCCACATGCCCTCAGGCTCCTGGGTAGCAGCAGCCCAGTGGGGCAGGCAGAGTCCCCCTTGGTCCCCCTGCTAACACCCTGGGGGGCCGGGTGTGCAGCTCTGATGTTTCACTGTAGCCCCAGGCAGGAAGTCAAAGGACGATTGTGGTTTCCACCGCGGTGACCTTTGTGGACGTCTCTGCACCAGCAGTGGCTGGCTTCCGGGCTCGGCCCACCATCAACGCCAGGCTACCCTTCGACTTCTTCTTCCCATTTGCGTGATGCGAGTGGTCATGCCGGGCCCACCGTGAAGGGCTGCACCGTGGGACAGCGTGCACTCAGGGCTGCAGGCCTCCTGGAGCTGGTGACCACTGGGTCACACTCCTTTTGGCCCTGGTGTCACTCCTAAGCCCACACACTCCCCTCTCCTCTTGGGAATTGCACTTGGCTTGATTCCATTTCTGAGCTGGTCAGTCCAGTGCTCTGCACTCAGGTCCTGGATGGAAACCGAGCTGTCCCTCGGAGACTGCAGGAAAAAGACTATGACACGGTGTGTGCAGGGAGGGTCCATTTGGGGCCTCCTCCATCCCTGCTTTGATGTGAGTTATTTTAAAAAGGTCCATTGTTCAGAGTCCAGCTTTTCTTTCCAGTCCCGTAGAAATAAGTACAAAAATAGCAAAATACCATATAAAATCATGCGAGGAGAGCACAAAGCTTCACGAGGGGCTCTTTCCCCAAAGATTATGTTAATGACAGGGCCAGCACAGGTCTAATTTCCGTTTGCCCTCCGAGCTCTGCTGGCTCTGCGCAGAGCAGCCAGGTGGGTGGATGAGGGAAGAATAGGTGGGAGGGCCGGGAAGGAGCACAGCTCTTTCAGGCATTAATTGTAGGGTAGCTGAGGAAAACAACGCCAGGTGCAGGAGGAGGGGCAGCCAGTGAGAAGCCGGGCAGCTGGATCCCGGGAGGGGTGCGTGAGGGGACCCCACCGCAGTGTCTGGAGGAAGAAAGACGGGGTAGGGAGCTGGCAGCCAAGCCAGCTGGTTTCCTTTCTTTTCCTGTCCAAATGCTCCTCAGAAAGGGTGCCCAGGGCCTGAAAACTCCACATTTGATGAGATTAAATTTATTTACAACCAGTCATTGTCCAGCTTTGTTCGTAAGGAATAAAGTGTCCTGGAAGACAGGACAGTTTGGTACATTTGTCATATAGTGCAGGGGAGGGCACAGGCAGCTCTTGGTCAGACGAAGAAAGAATTGAGCAGCTTGCAGGGCCGCGTCCGCACAAACCTCATAGGGCTGGGAGGCAGAGGCGGGGACCCCCCTCACCTGTGGCCTGGCGGCCTGGTCTCCCCAGCACAGGCTGCAGACATCTAGTTCACCTCGCCAAGCAGCCCGTGCTTTCGCAACAACTTGTTGAGTCTTTCGATCTCTTGTTCCTGTTGCAAAAACACATATCAGAATTGGCCTGCAGTTCAGCAGAGATGTGACAGTCATTTGGGGAGCCCCAGGCACAGGACACGAAGAGCGAGAGCTGCTGTCCTGTGGACGTCAGGCTGCTGAGCAGACTGCTGCTATCAGACAGGGATTCCTGGGCACAGGGACGGTGGAGATCACAGGTGCCCAGAGGAGGGGCACTGGCATAGCTTGGGCAGTGGGCCTGGCTCTGGCAAGTGGATGGGTGAGGTCTGAAGGGTCAAGGCACACAGACCAGGGAAGGGCACCAGGCAGAGGCACTGCAGGGACATGCCACACCTGTGCTTGGGAGGATTGTGACCAACATGCCCTGGGGTCTTACCTTCTCGGTGCAGCTGAACTCAAGGTGTTGGATCTTGGTGGCTAACTGAATGTTCATCTGCTTTAACCTCAGGAGTTGCCGCTCTGAGCGGGTCTTCACCGAGATGATTATCCCTGGAAAGTTATTTGGGGCATCAGAAATGCTGGTTTCTCCTGTCACCACTTGGGGGAAGGCAAAGATGTTCAGTACATTCCTATGTGCAGACAGGGTCCGAAAGGGGAGTGTTAGACTCGTCAGTCATCACCAAGTGCCGTCACAGACCAGAGGGCCAGCTGTTTTGTTTCTGTACCCTGCGGTACCCAGCTACCCAACAGGTGCTCATGGCCCGAACTGCCTGAGAAGTCCCCACGCAGGGTCAGGATGGGTGTCAGGCTGCGCCACATGGCCTGCTGGGGCGGGGCTGGAACACAGCTGCATGCGAGCACCAGCCACTGGCTGTCGCCTGCTTGACAGAAGCCTCCCCAGCAGCCACTGAGAGCATTGTCCTCCCCAGCAGAACCCAAAGCAAGGCTCTTCAGTCTTCATTATCATCACTGGGCCGCCCAGGGGAGCAGGTCTGTGTCACACAGAGGCATAGCTGCCTCCAACACCTGCCCTCCCCTCCACTCCCCAGTGAACCCCTCGCTTGGGGAGCCCTGAGCCTGCCAGGGGTGCTGCAGAGATCGGTCACACTGCCTGGCCATAACTCTGTGGCAGAAGGTGTATACTGAGCAGCTGGCTGTCACCAAGGCCATGTCACATCTGCCCCAGGTCCAGGATGCATGACAAGGGTTTCCCTGAAATACCATTTTCCCACATGCCTTTGCTCTAGCCAGAGCCTAGGGCGTGTTTATCTGCTCCCCCCAATCAAAAGCACCAAGTGGTCAGTTTAAAAAACCGTGGCTGCCTCATGCTCCCGAGCGCCCTGACACCCTGTGAGGGAGTAATGTGACATGCATCTGTCACTCAGCTTCCTGCGTCCCTCTGGCCGGTGCCTTCCCCTGGTGCCTACATGGAAACCTCTGAGAAACACCAAATTAAAAAAAAGGTGATCACCTAGTATGGGTGCTATTTTTCCAGCACTCGCAGAGGCTGAGGCGGGAGGATCACAAATCTGAACCCAGTCTAGGCAGTTTAGTGATACGGAGACCCTGTCTCAGAATAAACAGAGGACCAGGGATAGAATTTCAGCACCAAGACCCTGGTTTAAACCCCCGATACCAAGGTCGGGGGAATGCTCAGAAAAAAACCTCAAGAGACTTCTCGGGGATTATTCTAACCTTTCTAAATAAATATCTTTTGATAATCATAAAAATAAGGCCTGAAGGAGAAAGATAGTTTTCATGGCACTCGTCCTGTCCATCTGTGGCCACAGAGGCAGCAGTTGGTCACCAAATGTCACCACTTCCTTTTCTTTAGACTCTTGGGTGGTGGTGTTGGCCATGGTGGAAACTACATGTGTGGCCCAGATGCCAGTGCCTGAAGAACCAGCCTGGCCCCAGCCTATGTCCAGCCCCGTCTGCTGTCCTGTCCCCTCCGCAGCCCGGGAAACTCGTACCATTGATGATCCGGGCCACCCGCCATAGCCGGAGCAGAATCAACAGGCCGAGAGCCTCAAACTGGTGCTCCTGGAACAGGAGGACAATGTCGAGGATGAAGGAGATCACCACGACCACCGTGTCCAGGATCTCAAACTTGTGGTGAAAGAACTCCAGGCGGAAGACGAATATCTTAAAGGAAATCTCTATCATAAAGAAGGCCAAGATGGCGATGCTCATCCAGTGGAACACCTGAGGAGGACAAGGAGCCACAGTCAGGAGATGGGGCCTTGGCTCACAGCCTGGCCTCAGGGACCCCACCCTGCCTACCAGCGGAAGACTTCCTTGGCGAGACAGACCTTGTGCTCCATGCTGGAAATACAGCCTTGAGCACAAGGCAGGTTTCTGCCCTTGGAAGGGAATTAGTGCACACGGCTGTGCTGCAGGATACTTAACGCAGCGCTGCTATGGTTTACATCTAATTAATGTGTGTGGAGGTGACTGGATCATGGGGCACTGGACTCCTCCGTGGAGGAGGTCAGTAGCTGAATGTGCTGCTGGGCGGTGCTGCCTGGTTGGACATAGTCGCTGGGTTGTAACCTAGCCCCTTCTCTCTGTGCTTCCTGGCCACCAATGGGATGAGGACCTTTCCTCCTGGTCCTTCTGTCATATTGGTTCTGCTTTGGAGCCAACCAATCATAGACTGAATCTTCCAAAAACGTGAGCCAAAATAAACATGTCCTCCTGTCAGTTGTGGGTGCCAAGTGTTTCATCCCAGCAGTGGGCAAGCTGAGTAACACAAGCGCTATTTCCAAATAAGATTTTCTGCACTGTTGGTGGGACAATGTCACTCTCCACGAGAAGGCCCCTGTCACGTGAACAGTGGCACCTGCATACACACATTACTCAAGTAAGGGCTATGAACGTTCTGTCATCAAGGCAGATGCTAAGTGAAGAGGGCGTCAGAGCCTGGTGTCTAAGCCCCAGGCCTCAGCAAGGAGGTCGTTTCCAAGGTGAGGCAGGAAATGCATTAGTGAGCTGAGACTTCTTGTGCCAGAAAGCAAGAAACTCTACCTAAAGGCTCAGGTCAAAAGGAGACGGACTGAAGTGGCCCACAGTGACCGGTGTGGGACAATCTGAACATCGAGAAGAATGACTGATCTACACAAGGAACAAAAAACCCATGCGCCCGTGGTGAGGCGGGCATACTCATGGGAAGAAAGCTCCTCTTTGTGGGAGAACAGCAGCTAAAGGGTGGAGGGAAAGTCAGAACTAGAAAATCATTGTGCGTCGCCAGTGAATTCATTGACGCAAGCAGGGGCCGCCCAGGGTGGAAATCTGGGTGGGATGAAGTGTCACGGGAAAAGCTCTTTATAACTGCAGAGGACAAGAGCGCTGGACAGTGGCACACGCCAGCATTTGCCACCTACATCAAATGACGTGGCTGCCCTTAACGGGGGCCCTGGCATGACGTCCCCCCCCCCCCGGGTGATTCTCAAGAACAGAGCCCACCATGTGCAGCCCTTTTGGACTGAGCCTCTGACGTCACTTCCGGTGTGCGCTTCGGCTTCCGGGAGAAGGGACCAAACCAAAGAGCCCTTGGATGGATTTGCAGGCTAAACCAGAATGCGAGCCGTCCTACGGGATGGCTGGTGGGACTATTTAAAAAGTCAGCGTTGTGAGGTGGGAAGCGCGGCTGCAGAGAAGGAAACAGACACCTCAGAAGATACCCCCAAGGCCAGCGAGGGACTGCAGTGCTGGTGATGAGACCGGCACTGCCGTCGCTGACTTCCGTCTGAGCGCCAGGCTGGTTCTGGGGTGAGGTGAGGCCTGTTCTTAGACGCACAGATGTGTTTAGGGGTGAAGTCACAGTGTGGGTGACAGAAACACGTGGATCTGTCTTGGGAATGTATAGTAATAAAGCTAACACGGGGAAAGGTTTATTTGCTACTTTTCATGATACAGATTTGGGGGGAAAGGCAGCATCACAAATCCTATTAAGGAACACAGAGAAAAGGGAACTACTCATCCTTTTCCCCTGACTTGGGCTGCTCTTGGTTGAGAGGAAGGTTTGATGTTTCCTTCTGCCCTTTTTACCACTTGAAAACATAGGCATGTGCACCTCCCCTCCTCAAAGCACACGGGAAGATCCTTCTCGGGTCTGGCCTCGCCCTGCACCCACTGCTTCTTGGGTGGCACGGAGCCTGGCATGGTAACTGACTCGGTGGTGTTACCTATGGCTCCAGTGAAGGGACTGCACAGACACTGGAAGACAGGAAGCAAATGACACCAAACTCCCCAGCTCCTCGCTGCTCCACGCTGCCCTGAAGCACAGGGGAGCTGCAGTGGCAGTGACACTACCTTGGCCGCATACTTGTCCGGCTTGATAATCTTCAGGTCCAGGATAAGCTCGGCCAGCACCAGCAGGGCATCCAGAACCACCAGGCAGATGATGATGACCTGGGGTCACAGAGCACAGTGGGAAACCATGAGACTCACGTAGGGGGTGGACATCTCGGGGTGGGGCTCTGGGGTACAGATGCCAAGGGAGGGACCTGCCTGTCTGCCATAGGGCTCCTTTCCAGCCCCCTGGCCACTCCTGCTCTCTGCCTTTCTCATTCACTCTTTCTCAAAAAGAGTATCTCAAACTGAATGCCACTTTCTGGGTGGAAAAAATAAAGGACAATGTTAAGGTTTGTATTTTCCTACTTCCGGGGACCGCTAACGCCTAGGCAGGCACAGAACAGATGTCAGTCACTCAACAGATGACACTGTTAAGGCTTTGATGGAAGGCTGGAAGTGGCAGCCTTAGGAGAGGTGACAGTGGAGGGAGGGAGATGCCCCAAAAGACCACACATGAGCCTTCTCTTCCCCCAGGGTTCCAGACGTCACTTAGTCTCAGGCCTTGCTGCTCAGATCAGTGGAGTTTATATTTTGGGAGGGGTGATGGGATTGCACTCAAGGCCTTCACACTGAGATGTCCCTGAGAGAGTTTTGCTTAGTCCCTAAATTCCCTGGGCTACATTCAAATTTGTGATCTTCCTACCTCAGCCTCCCAGGGTACTGGGATTACAGGCACGTGCCACGAGGCCTGGCCAGGTCAGTGGATTTTGACCTTTGAAAGTGAGTCTGCTATTCAACCCGGTTCCAGGTTGAAATTAAACAAGCTGAGCCCTACACAAGAATGGACTGTTAAGCTTTTAGGACTTTTCAACTGAATCTTTTTTCTTATTTTTGTTTTTATAAATTCAAATGCAAGTCACATAAAACTAATCACTTGAAAATGAGCTTAATTATTTTAGTAAAGTAACTGATAATGGGGTTTGATGACATGGCAAAATAGTCTATACTGCAGTTTCCACCATCCAAATGCAGTGCTTTAACAAAGACTCAAGCCTCTGGTGGTCATGGGTTTTGTCTTCTTTTTCTTTTTAATCTTTGGTTTTATTTTAGAGCCCAAGGGATCTGAAGCTTACGAAGTCTAAAGGCAAGGCGCAGAGGTATGAAGAATGGATCCATTAGCCTGATGTACTGACGCACACCTGTCGTCCTAGCACTTGGGAGGCTGAGGTAGGGGGATTGTTGTGAGTTCGAGACCAGCCTGAGCTACGAAGTGAGTTCAAGGCCAGCGTGAACTGCATGGTGAGACCCTGTCTCAAACAAACAGAACGGACCCATTCTGTAGCCTTAATGAGGCAGCATGCGCTGATATATGCTGCTATGAAGTGGGGTGATGCTGGTAAGCACCCTGCAAACATCACAGGGAGTGAAAAGAGCCAGATGCGAAAGATACAAATGTCCAGAGAAGGAGCACCGAAGAGACAAAATACAGGCGATGGTTTCCAGGGGTGCAGGAGCATGTGAGGAGAATGTCCTGGAACTAGATAATGGTGAATGTCCTACATACCACAGAATGACTCATTTTCTTTCTTTCTTTTTTTTTTTTTTTGATCTTTTTCATTTTTATCGGTACCAGGGATCGAACTCACGACTGCCTGCTTGTAAGGCAGGTACTTAGGCCGCTGAGCTAAATGCCCAGCCCAGAATGACTCATTTTCAAGCGATTAGTTTTATGTGACTTGCATTTGAATTTATAAAAACAAAAATAAGAAAAAAGATTCAAGACCACTAAACTGCAATGCCCAGATCCCAGCCCTGAGGCCCGAATCTGCCACTCACCATGGAGCTGCCACACAGAGGACAGAAAAGTGCAGGGAACTCAGAGAGGCCTATAACCCCCAACCCTTCCCTGCAGGGCAGGCAGCCAGCACCTTGCTGGGCTGTGAGTTTCCTTAAGCAGAGGCTGCAGCATGGGGGGGGGGGGGGGCTGGCAGGCAGGGAGAGGGGTAGGAGCAAAGCCCCAGGCCCCCTTGTTCCTGTCCATCATGGCTTCTGCTTGGGCTGTGCCATCCTATGTAAGACCCTGGCCATTACAAACTACCCAGAGCCCACCTCCTCGGCAATGGTTCTGCCCACCTGGCACCCTTCTCTGTGCCTTCAGGGCAGCAGCCTATTCCCTGCCTGGCCCTGGAAACCCGGCCCCTCTACCTGGAAAGTGCCCGCTGCATCCATAGACCAGGGGGCCTAGGGCACTGGTAGGGGGGCGGGGCACTTGCTGAGCTTGGGCCAGGGCCTGGGTTCCACCCCAGCACCACCAGGAAACAAAATCAAAAGAAAACCAAAAACTCTGGTAATCACAGGTGTCAAGAGTCACCCACAGGACTCACTCCTGCTCAGCCTTCAGGTGTCAGGTGACAGGTCACCTCCCCCAAGTCCCAGGGTGCAGCAGGTCCTTGAGGCCCTGAGCTTGCAGAGCCCCCAAGCCCCGTCCCTGCAGAGGATTTCTGTTTGTAACCAGTGTCCGCTCCGTCTTAGTGACAACCCCTGCTTCTCTGTGGACTCAGATCCTCCTGAGGCCAGGGACGGGTTCTGTACACAGTAGTTGTGACTGTGGCATGAGAGAATGAATTACTTATGTCATGACAGTCTTTTCCCCAGTGGGAATGTCTCTGGGTGCCCCAGCTCAGGGCTGGCCTGGGGGTCACTGAAGAGGTGCGGGACATCTGGAGGGGGCGGCTCAGAGCTTCCCTTGCAGCTGGAAGGAAGCTGCCTCCCTCCTTCTGCTCCTGAAATTGAGGGTTTGGGATTTCAACCCCAACGAGTTAATACCACGTTTCCTTTCCTGTCACAGCCACAGAGGCCCAGGCAGGGCCGCGGAGCGCTGAGTGTTGGCTTGCTTCCTTTCTTCAAGCCACAGGAGCGCAAGAAAAACAGCAACCAAAACAATTTCTCTGTTTTACCCCAGAACAAAGTCAGGGATGGGAGGGAACAAAGTCAGGGATGGGAGGGACAGGGGCTACGTCTCATCTCTGCCCTTCCTCAGGGACTTGAGCCTTGGGAGGAGGCCCACAGCTGTGTCCCCAAATGCCTCCCTGTACTCCAGGCACTGGCTTGCCCAGGGTAGAGTCTGTGTGTGTGTGTGTGTGTGTGTGTGTGTGTGCGCGCGCATTTGTGTGTGTGCATTTGTCCTCCACAATCCAAATGTCCTTCAAAATGTCAGCATCAAAACTGCCCTGCCAAACTCGGTTCTCTCTGCCCTTGACGCCCCCATGTCCCCTCCTGTCTCCCCCTGTGGTCACCCTGCAGGGTGGTGACAAGTCAGAGCTGGACAGGTACGCATGGCATCTTTCCACAGAGAGGACATGGAGGTCCCCAAAGGTCGATAGCTGGCATGAGGCAGGGACCCTTGGCCTTGTTCCCAGGAGGGCCTGAGGGTCTATCAAGTGTATTTCTCTGCCTCTGACGACCACTCTTTTATTTACTGTGTGTGGGGGCTATAAACTTGCGTAGCAGAAAAATGTTTATGGTGCCCATCTTTTTTTTCATTGTCATCATTTTAAAGTCAGTGGGCTTAAGTATGGTCACAAGGTCCCTCAACCATCACCACCATCCAGTTCCAGAACGTTCACTGCCCCAGATGGGAACGCTGTGTCCACCAAGCAGACACACGTCCCCTCCAGCCCTAGCCCGAGCCCATGGCCACCAGCAACCCACTTTCTATTGCTGTGGCTTCACCTCACAGCCATGTCTCTGAGCACCCTGTCCACCGGAGCCTGTGCCACTGCTTTGTCCCTGCTCAGGCCTGAGCCTCCAGCCCGTGGTAGATGGGCTCTACTCTAATGTACTTTCCCAGGATGACTACCCCACACCCCACCATGACAGGGGCCCTCGCTGGGCCACTAGGGCAGCTCTGACCGCCTGTGGAGAACAGTGACAGTGACACAGACAGGTGCCACCCTGCCACCCTGGCCGCGGCCTCCTACCTGGAAGCGGTGGGAGCTGAAGAGCTTCCTCAGCTTGGCCCTGAAGTCCGGGGGCGGCCTGGGCGGGGGGACGGAGGCAGCCTCGGCGTCCCTGCCCTCCCTGCCCTCCTGGCCCGGGGCCGGCGCGGGCTGCGGCTGCTCCTGCTCCCCCTCGTCGTCGTCGTCCTCCTCGTTCTCCCACTTCTTGTAGTTGATGTTCCAGGACTGGTAGTCGTCCCCGACCACGGTGAAGTGCCGCAGGAACTGGCTCATCCTCTCTCCCCGGGCCACCCTGGCCCTGCGGGTGACGGCCTGAGAGGGGACAGGGAGCAGGAGGAGCGTGAGCCGGGCCCCACTGCTGCGACTGTGCCGGGGACAGGCCCAGGCCGGGCCTGGGGCCCTCAGAGCAGCCCGGGCACACGCAGAGGCTGGGAGGTCACGGTGGTTTCTGCTGTGTTTATTTTTAAACGCCAGGGTCTCAGAGCTGGTGAGGCACAGGAAACCCCAGGCCCCGCCAGCCCTGTCCCTGCGGTCTGGCTGGCTGTGAGCAGCGAAATCAAATCGGAACTGCAGCCCAGCTGCAGGAGACCCAGTGCAGGCCTTAGAGCAGGTAGCGGAAGCTGTCCCCCTTCAGGGACATCACGACCTGAGTGAGGGCTGGCGGGGAAACTGAGAAGCCGGGGAGGAGGAAGGGCTATCAGTAAAAGTACCCAGAGTGTCACGGGAAAGTCACGGGAGCCCTCCCTCCTCATGCCGCAGCTGGGTCCCAGACAGGTGAGTGGGGCTTTTTCTAGACTTAGCAAGTGTGTGTGTGTGTGTGTGTGTGTGTGTGTGTGTGTGTGTGTGTTACTGAGAATTGAACCTGAGCACTGAACTACTCTTTACGCCTTTCCCTTTTTTATTTTGACTGGGTCTAAGTCTCTTATTGCCCAGGCAGTCTTGATCTTAAAGTTGTGATTCTCCTGTCTCAGCCTCCCAGAGTGCTGGGATCGCAGGCTTGAACCACTATACCTGGCTTGGCCAGTGCTATTTTAACTACACACGCAGTTGTCTAAAGAGAGATAACTTCAAAGCACAACAAAATTATTTTGCCCTCACCTGTGATCACTTTACCAGACATCAAATTTTTATTAAGTAATAGAACATACATGTATGGATCCAAGTGTAAGTGATGTGACCAGTGGAACAGGAAAAGTGAATCCAAGCAGATCCAGGTCCTCACGGGAGCCCAAGGTGAGCTGGCAGCAGTCCCCATCGGGGAACAGGCTGACAAAGTCAGAACATCCGGGTTTTCCAACATAAGAAAACTAGACCTGATCCCTGCCTCACATCACACACACACATTACATTTCAGATGCTGTGACAATGTCGTGTATATGTCTAAAAAATACTGCAAGTCTTAGAACCAAGACAAGTGGGTAACTTCATGACTCCAGGATAGGGGAGGATTACTTAACCTAGAAAACATGGAGCAGATCTGCCTGCATCCAAACTAAAAGCTTTTCTGCACACGCATATGCACATACATCTCGTTCTCCTCCAGGGTCAAAGACACGCCCCAGGCTGACAGTGTGTGCAGTGTACTTAATAAAGCAAGATTTAAAGTCTAGAATATACAAAGTACTCAGCCTCACCAGTACTTAGGAAGATGCACGCACAGCCACACCCAAGGCTGGGAAGAATCCTGAAGTCTGCACTAGCTGATACTGCAGAGGATGTGAGATGGCATCTCTGAAGCCCTGAAGTCACAGATGCCAGCAGCGCCATTTTCAGAAGCAGCCTGGTATTACCTTGTCAAGCTGAAGCTGTGAGTCTTTTTCTGAGTGATTTCTTGATTCTCTCCCTAGACACAATCCGAAGACAGACTCACCCACATGTGCTCCAGTTGGTGACAAGTTCTAGGAAGTTTGCTGTGAGTATTCATTAACCAACATGGAAGGAGACCGAAGAATGAATCTTCTCTATTCATGTGATGAAATACTAGACAGCAGTGAAAAAGAACGCACCACCTTGCTGTATAGCATATATACCCACTCAAATGCATTGAATAGAGATCATTCCTTTCTTTAAATGCCTCCTTCACTCTCCTGGTTTTGCTCCTCTCCCAGCCGTTGCTTCCTGTCAGTCTCTCGTGGATCCTTTACAAGGAAGACCTTCCATTTAAGTGTTGGAATTCCCAGGGTGTCAGTTCCGACTACCTCTCTTCTCTCTCCTAAGACCCTAGTGGATTTTGCTGGGCACCCTGACTTTTAAAAACCATCTTTACACCGAAGACACTCAAAGTCCAGCCGCATCTCTCACCTGAATGCTGGCCTCAGCAGCTAACACACAAACTATGTCTGTGCCAGTTCAAGGCATTTTGTTGATTCCCTTCCTAAGTTCAAGGGCGTGGGCATCAGTCTCAGTTCCTGCCTTGACCCACACTGCCCACCCATGAGTTCTGCTGGCTCTGCCCTTACATCCTTAACAGGACCATTCACAACTCTGGTCCAGGCCAATCTTCCTTGCCATCTCCTGCTCGGATTTCTATAGTAGTCCTGTTACCGCGCTCTATCCATTCCCTGAATGTAACTATGGAGAAGTTTTATCACTTTTTAAATTTATTGTTATCTATCTATCTATCTATTTATTTATTTTGTCTTTTTCCTTTTTATTGGTACCGGGGATCAAACTCACGACTGCCTGCTTGCAAGGCAGGCCCTTATGCCGCTGAGCTAAACCTCCAGCCCCTATCTATTTATTTTTGAGACAGGGTCTTACTGTATAGTTCAGGCTGCTCCTGAACTCACTGTATCTCAGGCTTGTCTGGAACTTAAAGCAATCCTCCTGCCTCAGCCTCCCGCGTGCTGGGATTACACGTGTGTACCACCACGCCTGGCTTCAAAGTTTTAAAAACATGCACAAGCACACATCGTGGCCTTGCTCAAAACCCTCATGGGAGCTTTTGTTACAGTTGGTCTCTCTCCCTGGAATCCTCCCCACTCAGGACACTGCCCTGCGGGCGCCCCCAGCTTGCTCAGGGCAGATCTGCTCAATCTTTCCTCGTCACCCTTCCCACACCTTGCTGCATATTTTTTCCCTGCACTTTTGCTATCAGACATTACCTGTGCTTACCATCTGCCTCCTCCCACAAGAGCGGGGCTGTTCCTGTCTTGCGCAACAGTACGCCTGCGAGGACAGCCCCTTGCCCTTAGCAGACAGCCCGAAATACTCAGCTGTGTAAGTTACTGAGTTCAAATAGCCATGCGGCTACATCTTAAAAGGTGTGTTCGGTGTAGTGGGTGTGGTGGCACACACCTGGGACCCAAGACTCGAGAGGCTGAGGCAGGAGGATCACAAGTTGGGAGCCTCGCCTAGGCAGCCAAGCAAGACTCTATTCCAAAATAAAAAATAAAAAGGGCAGTGGCCAGGCACAGCGGTGCCTGAACACCTGTAATTCCAGGGAGGCAGAGGCAGGAGGTTTGACATGAGCTTGAGGCCAGCCTGGACTACACAGTGAGACCCTGGATCAAAAATAAAATAAAATAAAATAATAGATGGAAAAGCCTGGGGCTGCAGTTCAGTGCACAGGCCTGGCTGTAATCTCCAGTACTGCGGGGTGAGTGTACACTTGGATAGGAAGAAAATGACCCATGTAAGTTAGGTTTTAAAGACATGGAAATACTATATATTGCTTTTAGAATATATAAAAATGTGAGGGTAAATATATAAAAGAATAAGATTTCTGCTTCTGCCCATGATAAAGTAACTGGACTAGATTGCCCCTCTGCTATAAACGACTAAAACTGGAGACAACAGGAAATTGACTATGATTCTAGAGAGAAGAGAAGTCCCTAGGGTTGAGCCCACGGTCTCCTGGACTCTGCCTGGAGGAACTTTCTGGGCTACAGAGGGGGACGGGCCGAGTCCGCCCTCAGGAGCTTGCATGGCCGGGTACCAGAGGAAGGGAATTCTGCAGAGCGATCTCCAAACTCATGGACTTGACTGATGCATAAACTTCACCTGCATAAAGCAAATTCTACGAGGCAGGGCAAAATAAACCTTCAGAAAAACAAAACATCTCTTGACGAGAGCTTATAAACTCAGTGACTAAGACGTTACCCAGGGCTGGGCTGGGACAGATGAGGCTTTTCCAAAAGCCTGAGTATGGAGGTTTCAGTGACCACCCGAAGCATTCAGGAGAACTTCCCGAAGGCACGCCGTAGATGGAGACCTACAGCGTGTGTAAGCTAAGCACCGTGGCATGGCTATAATCCTAGCACTCTGGGAGGCTGAGGCAAGAGGATCTGCAGAAATAGACCTGATCTAATCCTATAGGAAGGGCTACCTTAGACTCACCCCAACACGGCTTCAAAAACCCCTGAAATGGTCAAGATGATTCCCAAGTAAATCAACTGTTAGAAGAAAATTCAAAACCCCTACGGAAAATAAATAACATAGATTCAACACATAGAATTCATATTGCCGGGGCTGGGGATTTAGCTCAGGGGCATAAGCGCCTGGCTTGCAAGCAGGCAGTCGTGAGTTCAATCCCCGGTACTGATAAAAAGGAAAACAAACAAACAAACAAAATTACTAGACAGATACAGATGCAGAAAAATGTGACCCATCATCAGAAGAAAAATCAGCTAGCAAAAGACACAAATGGACCCAGAAAATGGAATGGCCCAACAAAGGCCTAAAAATAGTTGTTACCAATATTTTTTGCACCGGGGATTGAACTCACGACCTTGTGCTTGCCAGGCAGGCCTTTATGTCACTGAGCTAAATCCCCGGCCTGTTACCATTTATTAAGATTTCGAGGAAAAGGTATTTATTAATACCATTTACTAAGATTTCAAGGAAAGCATCAATGTAATGAGAAAACAAAGAATCTCAACAGAGAAACAGAAATTCTAAAAAGATTTAAGTGGCTTCTCTAGAGCTAAAAAAAATGAATATGTGAGATGAAGTCACTTGATGGGCTTAATGGCTGGTAAAATACTGCAAAAGAAGAGATCAGTGAACTCATCTAAATGCTTTTTCTGTTTTTCTTTTTTCTTTTCTTTTTTTTTTTTTTGGTACTGGGAATCAAACTTAGAACCTTGTGCTTACCCGGGAAAGGATCAGTAAGCTTAAAGACAGAGCAACAGGAAATATCACGTAGAGAGAAACCAGCGAGTGTGGTGGTTCACCCCTGTAATCCTGCAGCTGGGAGACGAGGGGGAGCACTGGCGAGAGTTCAAGGCCTCCCTGAGCTGTACAGCGAGCCCCTGTCTCAAAAAAACCCAACCAAAACAAAGTACATAAAACAAACAAACAAATAACTAGAGCCCCGGGGAAAAAAGTGGTGTCACACACAAGTGCCCCCAGAGTTGGAAGGAGATGACAGGGGATTAAGGGGAAAAGTATTAGAAAAAGGCTGAGAACTGTCTAAGTTTGATGGGAAAACATAACATGCAGGTGTGAAGCTCAGTGAACTCCAAGCAGACTACCCCCAGGTACACACAAAAGAACAAACCACAGCACATGCCTGTGATCCTGGCTGGCTGAGAGGCTGAGGCAGGAGGGTTGCAAGTTCAAGCTCAGCCTAGAGAACTTAGTGACCTGGTAAGACCCTCATTCAAAATTTTTAAAGGGCAGGGATGTAGCTCAGTGTGAAGGCCCTGGGTCCAATTCCCAGGATAGCCAAAACAGAATCAATAAAATCCTCAAAATAAAAACAAAAATCCAGAAGACACCAAATTTATGATAGTGAAATTCACAATAGTCATAACCCCAGGCAAAGGCTGTAGGATTAAAAATGCAGTAAATGCACTTGAACAGTATCTACAAATATCTGTAAAATGTCTTTTTAATTACCAAAAAATTTGATTAAAATGTGACCAAATGTTAACAGCTACCAATTCAGGTTGATAATTACATAAGTATGTGATAATATTTTATTCTTACCTGTTACACTTTTCAAAGTAAAATTTAAGAAAAATCTTCATCTTTGGTGCAAGCTCAGATTTGAAGTGCGTGTGGGGTAGGTAGTGGGGATTGAACCCAGCACCTCACAATGAGTTACATCCTCAGACCTTTTATTGTTTTTAGCTTGAGTAAGACAGGGTCTCACTAAGTCGCCCAGGCTAGCTTTCAACTTGCAATCCTCCTGCCTCAGCCTTCTGAGAAGCTGGGATCATAGGCTTGCACCACTGTGCCTGCTAAACTCAAATGTTTTTCATGGTACCTTCAGAGAAGGTTAGGGCTGTAAGAGGTCGCTGCTCTGATCTCCCTGTTCTATAATCTTCCAAGCTCCAAAGTGGATCAGAGAACACCACCTGTTTCACGAGCTTCCCACGCCCCCAACAGCTTCTAGGTAAGCGGCAGGGGACGTCCCTGCAGGACGGGCCGTGGGTGGTGTGTGGAGGGCTGGTCATCCAGGAATCTGGGCTGCAGGTCACCTCCCTGCCCGGCCTCACACCGTCTGGGTACCTAGGAAGCTCCAGGTTTCACAGTCGTCAGATGCTTACGACCCCCACATAACCTGACAGCACCTGCGTTCTGCTGCCCTCGCCCTTCCGCAGGGTCCTGGGCCTGTTTCTGTCCTTCTCCTCACGGCCACAGTTTACTTGCTCCTGGGCCACCATCCAATCTGTACTTCTGTCCTCCCAAAGCCAAGACCCTCACTGTGATACACACAGCCCCGAGGTGCTTGGCCTCCCTCCTTCTCACAGCCTGCCATGCAGTTCAGGCTGGTTTTGAACGCACACGGTAGCCCAGGCTGGCCTTGAACTCATGGAGAGACTCCTGCCTCAGCCTCCCAAGACCTGGCATTACAGCTGTGTGCCACCATGCCTGGCTTTTCCCCTCATCCTTACCCTTCCAAAGCCCTCACTGCAATTTCTAATTAGAAATGGCATCGTGCCTAGTATTACTGCTGTCCTCGCTGGCATTGGAGCTCCATCCAATAGGACAGAGCCTGTGTCCTGAGTCACATATGATGTTTGACCCACAGAAGTAGCCCCTGCATCCCCATCTGCCAAGGACGCTGGACCTTGCTTCCCACCCCAGGCCACAGTTTCCCCCAGAAGCACCCGAGCCCTTTCTTAGCACACTGGGAGCCTGGGGCACTTTGCAAAAACCGTGTTTCTACTTTACAGGAGAGGAAAGTTTTTCTTTCTGAAACCTTGTGACCAATAAGAGAAGCAACTTTTAGTAACTCAGGATGAAAATATTTCTGGCACCCGGCGGAGCAGAAAATAATTCTGGTTTTAAGTCAGGACTATCACGCCAGAAGCAGCAAAGCTCTGGAGAGGGGTCAAGGCGAGTTGGCCCCGGAGTGGCGGGGCCCTGGCTTCCGCCCCCTCTGGCGGGAAGAGGACTGGGAGGGGGGCACCCTCACAAGCCCTGTCACACCAGCCTACAGCAGCCCCGAGCTGGCAGCTCTGCCTGTCCCTCCCAGCCCCTCCTGCACCTCTGGCCCAGGGCTCTGCTGCCACAACCCGGGGACCCTGTGACCCTGGACTTCTCAGTCCCATGAACGTCTTCTGCATCTCAGCGTGGCTCTGTCATTTGCAGCTATACCGGCAGAGTCACTAATGGGGACTCCACGGCCCCTGCAGGAATCCCTGCTTCCTGGTCTTGCCACACCCTGCGGGTCCTGTGGGGGTGGGTGGGTGTCACCTTCCTGTCTCAAAGCCCAGGACCTCGAGTAGGGCCTGCGTGACCACAGCACCCTCCTCACACCACCGACTGACTCCCCTTGCTTCTGTCTGGCCTCCCAATTCCTCTTGAGACCCTGACTCTGGCCTTGCCCTCAGTCTGGGGACTCCCCCAGCCTTCTTTGGGGGTACTCGGAATAAACCCGAGGCCTTCACACTGAGCTAAAGCCGCAGTCCTTTTTCATTTTGAGACAGGGTCTTGTTAAGTTGCCAGGCTGCCCAGGCTAGGTTTGAACTTGTGATAGCCCTGGTTCGGCCTCCTACCGTGCTGGAATTAGATGGTACCATCGCACCTGTGTGTTCAACACCGTTCACATTCAAATCAAAGTCTGCGCCTGACCCCCGAGGTTTCGCAGCTCATTAGTTTGCTGTGAGCCACACTGAGACTGCTCCTGTTCCATGTCCCCTGAGGGCCTGGCCTTGTGCACATCTTTCTCCCCAAGCCAGCGCCCCCAGGCTGTGCCTGCCTGGGGACACTTCTGAACGCTTGGTTCCCAGGCGCCCCTCTCCTCCGGGCCTCACTAGTGACGCCCACTAGTGCGCCACGCTCTCTCCCCCAGGACCTCATGATCCAGAACACCCTCTGCCTCTCTCACCCTATGCAGCCCCCAGGGCTCAGGCCTCAGGCTCAGTGTTTTTTCTCACTTTTCCCTTTGCTGGGGATTGAATCCAGGGCCTCATATGTGCCCGGTAATTCTACACTATTATAACCCTACACCATTCTTATATTTTTGGACAAGGTCTTGCTAAGTAGCCCAGGCTGGCCTCAAACTTGAGACCGTCCTGCCTCGTCCTCTAAGCAGCAGAGATCACGGGCAGGCAGGCACCAGCACAGTTGGTTCCTTGCCATCTACCCTGTGCACCTCTGCTGGCGCCCTGTGGGGAGCTTCCTTACCTGGCCCCAGCTGGGTCTCCCTCCACACGCACACGGTGCCATTACACCTCCATCGTGTCCCTGTCTGTGCCGGGCTGAGGAGGAGGGTGGGGGTGACAGAGACCTTCCTCCCTCAGCCCCGCGAGAGGCCCAGTTAAGTATTTAATAAACAAATTACCAGAATCACCGTTGCCCCCTTCAAAGCAAATGGATCGACACGTGACAGGTGTTACACAAATTACTCCTGGGTGCTGATGAGAGCACCGCAGGCCGAGGGGTGGGGAGGGGGATTCTCCCGAATGCCTATTTCTGCAGTGGCCATCTGTGGAGGGGGCGGGGGGAGTCCCCATGGCCAACGATCACAGATAAAGGCTTTTTAAGAAATCCAGCCAACTGCCAATTCCCAGGGCCCAGAGCCTCTCCTTTCCCCATTTCCCTGTTCTCTTCCAGAGCTATTTGGGGGGGACTCAATTTGCTTATTAACTACTATGCTCACCCAAAACTCCCGCAAGACAGAAGAGCAGCAGAAGCTACCAAGACCGATGGCTTCTCCTACGATTGTGTCATTTACTGTGTCACCAGCACACTGCTTGTCTTCTTCCCACAGAATGTCAGTTCACCTCCCAACTTCGGGCTGAGCTGGGGCTAGGGCCAGCTCATGTTGGGGCTCAATAAAGGGAAGGGACTCTGGAGCCAGCACTGCTGGACTGTGAAGAGCCAGGACTGGCCCTGGGACGTGGACACACAGGGTGCAGCTGCCCGAGTCAGGCTCCAGGGCGGCTTCCACGTCTGGCCTCGAGCTGTCTCCCTCCCTCCGGCCTCCAGGGCTGCACAGCCCACCCAGACCCTGGACCAGAGACCGCACACCTCAGGTGGGCAGCTGCTGCTGCCCTGCTCACACCTGGGCTGCCGCCATCCCCAGGAGTGGGCAGGACAGGGAGGAGCAAGCTCTGCATTCCACAGGAGGGGAAACGGGGGCACGGGAGGACGCTGGCCTGAAGTCACACCAAGTCACAAACCAGGAGCAGGTGGGCAGGTAAGGGAGGAGACAGGGTAACACAGTATCCCCTCTAGGGAGGACTAGGAGGCAGGTGACACACTCTGTGTGTGTGTGTGTATTTTTTTAAGAGACAGATATATTTAAAAAGAGAGAGAGACAGACAGACAGACAGACAGATATATTGCCCAGGCTGGCCCTGAAATCCTGCACTCATGTGATCGTAATCTTCCTGCCTCAGCCTCCCTAGAAGCTGGGACTCTAAATGCATACTACAATACATGGGTTCTTTTGTGGCTTGAAAATTTTTTTTTGGCTGGTCCAATGGCAGTGGGTTATCAGAACTTATTAACATTAGTGTCACTAAAGTTGGTATACCATCCCCCTCCACTGCTAAATTTGACTGGCTTTAAAAAAAAATTTTTTTTTTGTTTGCTTTTTGAGACAAGAACTCCCTATGTAGTTCAGGCTGGCTTTGAATTTACTACACAGCCCAGGTTGGTGGTCCTTCTGCCTCAGCCTTCTGAATGCTGAGTACAATATAGGCGTGTGCCACCACACCCAGCTGAAAAAAAATCTGAGTGTGTGTGACACGCCAGGTGTAGGAGTAAAGATAGCTTTACCAAAATCTAAAACGTCTTTATTTTTAAAAAAAAGTCCTTATCATTCAACCTGACAAGAGCGTCACACATGAATGTATCTACTTGCTGGATCTTGCTCCATTAGCCCCAAATCAGAAGTAACCTCCAAGTCTGTCACACCATGCAGGGTCACACTGCGGAGCCCTGCGTGGCCATGCAGGAGCCCGGTGACCTGTGGGCACTGGCATAGACAGCAGTCCCTCGGAAGGACCCTTCCCCACCCAGACCCTTGGTATAAATGGCACTGTTTATGCTGGACTCCTGCCTCCCTTTGGAGAGTCAGCCTGTGTGACAGCCCCCAATAAAACCTGAGGGTGATGAGCCCCCAGGGACCTCTCAGGTCACCAACACCTCACACATCACTGCTCGATGCAGGAGGGACCGAGCAGACCCCTGGAGAGGACTCCGGAAGCTTGTGCCCATTTCCCACAGTCTTCACCTGAATGCCTCTTCCCTTTTGCTAAACTGAATCAGTATCCTTCAGCCGCAATAATGCTCACCCCACTGTGAGTACATATATATGGGGGTGCCCCAGGAGCCTCCTACTAAAGCCGAACTTCTGGGCTTGGACACCCTGACATATTCCTGTATTTAAAATCTTTCTGGTTTCTCATTGTTCTTTAAACAACCAAGAACCAGATGCCTTCCAGGGCTACATCTGTTCTCCCCACTGGGGCTCTGCTGATCTGACCTCATTTTCCACATGTCCTCACTCTGGCCATGCTGTCTCCAGTCATTTGGGCTTCATGGCCACCAGGCTTCTCTAGCCACAGGGTCTTTGCACATGCAGGTTCTTCTGCCTGGAACAGTGATGTGCTTTCACCTTGCCATCAATCTTCCTTGCTTCCTTCATCCCAGCTCAGAGGGGCTGGCCAGGCCTCCTGTTGCACGCTCACGGCCCCTACGCTCCTGGGAAGTTGTGTCACCACTGAGCACCCCAGGGCTGGCAGGCCCTGCTCGCACCGTGACCCTTGTGCCTAGCAGACCAGCAGCTCCCATGGCATATGCTGGGGGCAGAATGAGCCCCTCAGCTGAGCTCCACTCTCGGGACCCAGGAGCCACCTGCCAGGGCCCCCCCCCCAGGGGCTGTGTGTTCTGAGGAATGTCTATTTTTAAGATCAGGGAAGTCTTTAAATAAATGTAGAAATTGTTCCTTCTCTAGGGTGGAGAGGAAGTTTGGGGTTCATGAAAACAAGCCCCGAGCCGGCTGAGTGCCTCTGGCAGGAGGGGTGCTGTGGGCCGAGGAGCCTGCCCGCTGGCCCAGTCCCCCCAGAACTGGGCTCCTCAGCCTCCTACTCCACGCAGCAGCTGCCAACCTGGCACCTTAACTCCAGAGCTGGGTTTGCAAGGGTGGAAAGCAGTGGCTGCAGTCTTAGGAGCTCGCAGAGCCCCCGTACACAGTGCAACCGCCCTGCATGGTGCCTGCCAACCCCTCTCCACTTACCAGCGTAGAAACAGAAAGGCAAGTGATGAATGAACTCCAGGTCGTGCAGCCTAAGGAAAGCAGAGCCAGGGCTCCAACCTGGCTCCCCTCTTCCTTTCGAGCCCCTTGTGAATACACCCAGCCTCGCACCTCGGTAGCTGGGGAAGCAGCTCCCAAGCCCCAGTTGCATGATAGAATCACCTAGAGGGTTTTTTTTTTTTTACCGGTACCGGGGATCAAACTCACAACCACGCGCTTGCAAGGCAGGCGCTTATGCCGCTGAGCTAAATCCCCAGGCCCACACCTAGAGTGTTTTGAAGCCCCATCCTGGACTCAGAGACCCTGATCTAACTGGCAGCGGTGTGGCGAGTGTGGCGTGCTACGTGGGAACCACCAGGTGGAAGGCACAAAGTTACAGCTGTCTCCGCACACCCAGCTCCAGGCTCCTAAGAACCAGCTCACCTGATGGGCTGCAAAGCCCGTATATTCTCGTGCTGGAGACCATGGCGGCATACCAAAGACAACCCTGTGTCTTTCTCTATGCACCAGACCTCCTTTATGGCTGCAGTGGTGGCTGTCATCAAGCACCCCACTAAGGACTTTGAGTGTAGGGTCATCGTTAATCCCTGGTGCTGGTGTTCCTGTTATGCAGAACAGGGAAACTGAAGCTCAGAGACGGACCTGGCGGAGGGCAGGCTTCTGCAGCTAGCTAAGTCTATCTCCATGAACTGGCTATTGCAAAGCTACCAACCGCCCTCTCCTTTTCTCCTACAGCACAGCTCTGCTGTCCCAGAAAGTGGGAGCGCTCTGAAGCAAACCCATGAAAACAAGCTTTGCAAACCACAATGAACCCGACAAAGGCCAAGTATGAAAAAGAACATGTTCTCTGACCAGGAAGAGTCCATTTGACCCCCATCTTCCCAGGTCCCCAGCAATGCCACCACCTCTGTGGTGACAGGTAACCTCCTGCCCCTCGCGGGTTCCCCAAGGTATGTACTCAGGGGGTTCTGTATTCCGGGTACCACTTCCCCTGCAGTTTCTGAGCCCTGGTCCAGGCCTAAACGAGGTCCCCTGGATTCCCCTGCCCAAGTGGGCTGCCTGCAGATTCCTTGGGCCCACCCCCTTACCATGCACCCCACGGAACAGACCTCCATTTATTTCTTTCATTGTTATGCTAGTGTGAAATGTGAGCAAAAGAAAGGGGACACATTCACAGTGACCCCGACACACCCAGCTTCTCCAGCCTCTATCAAATCCCTAGCTTTTATGATCACAATCAAAGACCACAGGCAACACAGTATCTGTCTCCCACAGCCACAGGACCCACACTTACGCCTCTTCGTGACCAACACACTTTCTAAGGGGCCGAATGGTCTTATTGTTACAGCCTGACTGCTTCTCACATTCAGTATCTTTTACACCAATTCTAAAACCACATTTTCTCACATCTCTGAAAAGCCCTTCAATGGGTTTATTTTGGTGTATATCATTTTATCCCACCAAAGTACTTCATAATACATAAAATAACAGTGCATCTACAACAAACAGCATCTAACATCCAACATGCTCAGAAATCGAGTGCATAAATTTTGTTGTTGCTGTTTGCGATTCTGGGGTTTGAACCCAGGCTCTCACACAAGCCCCCTGCCACTGAGCTGCACCCTCAGCCCTCAGTTATTTTGAGACCAAATCTGCTAAGTTGCTAAGTCACAGGCTGGGCTCGAACTTGTGATCCTCCTGCCTCATATTTTTGTTTTTATGGACTTTTTCTTTTCCTATTTGTTAGATAATAAGGCTTTCCTGTGAAGTTTCAAGATTCTGGATACAAACTGTCAATTTTTTTTTTTCCCCCGGACAGGGGTAGGGGCTGGGCCAGCCCTGGGATAATACTCCATCCAGCAAGTACGCTGGGGTCCACAGGTAACCAGGGCCAGCACTGCCATCTGATTTCATAGGGAACTGCAAAACAGAGAACTGTCTGACGACTCCTGTCTGTCTTTCTTCAAACAAACTTCCCTCCTAACAGCACGGGCAGCCAGTGTGAGGAAACCCAAGCTCTCCCCCGCTGTCATCCCTGCTGACCCGAGGCTTTGGGGACTTTGTCCTAACCGAGCGCTGCTACCGCCCAGCCGCCCTAGCTGGGCCCGCAGAACCTATACATGAACACAGGGAGAAGCCAGCACTTCTTCCCACCTTGCCACCTGTGCCCCCCGCGGGCCCAGCACCCCAAAGGACACAGCTTAGGAGCTCCACTCCAGATGGCTGCAGAAAGCAAACCTCTGCTTTGGATCAGGCCAGGTGGAAGTCCCATTCCTGCCACTTTCTAGCCATACAGTCCCAATGAGTGGCCCAGTTCCCTGTGCCCGAGTCTCCTTCCCTATAAAAGGCAGTGGTCAGTGGGCTCAGGACTGGCCTGGTGCCAGGAGGCTGCTGTCTCAGCCTTTCCACAGTCCTGCAGGAAAGGGATGGTAAATAACCTTTTCATCATCTTCCAGACAAGGAAACTGAGGCTCAGACTGGCGAAGGGCATGGTCTTATGGCCTGCATTTATTAAAATGCAAAGCTGGGGACCTGGGATTTAGCTCAGTGGTAAAGCACCTGTCTGGCAATTCCCAGATACCGCTTGTGGCGGGGATGCAAAGCTAGGATTTAAATCTGTTGGTTCAATTAACAGGCTCCCTGGAGAGTCTGTGAAGCCCTTCCCTAACTTTCACCTTCGTGGCCTTGGGCAGGGTACAAACATACTCCACAGGATTTTCTCTGTCCTGCTGAAACCATCCAACATAATTCTATTCTTGAAGCTGGAAGGGTCTCTGAGGCTGCTGGACACCAGAAGCAACTTACCTTCTCATCACCAGACGCCATTTTCCTGCAGCTCTGGATCTGGAACAGAAGAAAACACTCGTCAGATCCGCTCTCCTGCAGTGGTCCTCTGAATATGTGCTTGGCAATCTTGGCTGAAGGACTGGTTATAAGCCAGGTTTGTTTGTCTATTTTTTATCTTCTTGAGGCAGGGTTTCACTATGTAACTCAGGTTGGACTTAAACTCACTTTGTAGCCTAGGCTGACCTCAGACTCACAGTGATCCTCCTGACTCCGCTTCCCGAGTGTTGGGAGTTAGTTTTAACAGTGTCCAAAATAATGTAGAGCCAGACATGGTGGCAAACACCTGTAAACCCAGCACTCGGGATGTGAGGCAAGAAGACTGCGGCAAGGTCAAGGCCAGGCTGGGCTACATAGTGAGACCCTCTCTGAAAAAAAAAGGTGCAACAGTACAAAGCTCAAAAGTGTACATAGAAGGTGTGTCCTGGGGATACACTCGAAGGATGGGGAAAAAGGTGCGCTACATGTACCCGCTTAACATTAGCTTCACTTTTTAGCTAGAGAGTACATGGCACCGCCAGCCTGAAGAAGGGAAAGCTGCTGACACAGCTGACTGCATGGATGGACCGTGAAAATACTACCTTAAGGACAGGCAGATGCCTGCTCACAAAACGGAGGCTCACAGCCTCTGATCCTCACTGATAGTAGAGGTCCAGAACAGCAAACCCACGGAGTCGGGAAGAATGGTTGCCAGGTGTTGGAGGAAGGGGAGAGGAAGGGCTGGCTGCTTAATGGGTGTGGTGGCCCCTGTTCGGCCTGGATCCCGGTGATGGCTTGGGGCTGCACAATACCGGGAAGGTGCTAAGCGCTACCACACTCCCAGCTCTCCAGTGGCTCCTTTCACACTCAGTCAATTTCACTTCAATTTCAAAAGACAGAAAGACTGCGTTACAGTAGGGGCTGCTCGGAAAGGCAGGAAACCATCTAAAGGTCATGGGTGGATTCTTCTGGGCTCAGGGGATGGACATCTGAGCAGCTGGAGACGAGGCTGCCCAATCTTCAGATGGATATAGGAGGGCAAAACAAACCCACTGCAGTGCAGTGTTGCGGGGGGAGCCACGTTAAAACAAAACACTGTGGAAAATGTTCCGTCTGTAGGGCTGGGGATTTAGCTCAGCGGCATAAGTACCTGCCTTGCTAGCAGGCGGTCGTGAGTTCGATCCCTGGTACTGATAAAAATGAAAAAGACAAAAAAAAAAAAAAAGAAAATGTTCCGTCTGTGAGGCGACCCAAACTTGTCACAGCGATCATCTCTGGGAGAACGGGGAGGCATCTGGCTGGGCACGCGGGTTGGGTGACCACTCGCCTTCTCTTTGCCTCTGCAAAGTCTGAACTTCTACAATGACTATGTGATACTTTTCAAAATTATTTTTAACGTAAGTGACACATGCATGTAGTAAAAAATTTAAATACTACAAAAAGATTACTATGGCAGTCGCAGCCCTCGTTCCCAGAAGCAGCTACCCCTGCTAGTGCCCTCTGCAGCCTCCAGAGGTTTTCTGTGTCTTTGCAAACACACACATGCACACTTTCACTCCTCTTCCTGTGTTTTTTTTCTTAAGCAAATGTGAGCCCACACACTGCTCTGAGCCTTATTTCCTTTAGGGGGTGGTAGGCAGAGTAATTTCCCCCGAAGGACCCTTAGACGGAGCAGATGGCTAATCCAGGTGGATCCACTATAACAGGAGAAATTTTTTGTTTAATTTTTATAGTGCTTGGGATCAAACTGAGGGCCTTGTACGCAACAGGCAAGTGGTGTATGGCTGTGCTACATCACCAGCCTTTTAAAATTGTTCTGCAGAATTTTGAGACAGGGTCTCACCAAATTGTCCAGGCTCGCCTCAAACTTGCAATCCTCCTGCCTCAGCCTCCTGAGTGGCTGGTGTGCCACCACATCCATCCAGAAGGGTCTCCATGAGCAAAGGAGGAGACCTGGGAGATGTGAGGGCAGAAGCAGAGTCGGCAGCAGAGCGAGGCTGAAGATGCCTGCTGCTGGCCTCAAAGGTGGCAGAAGGCACCAATGTAAGCAACGTGAGTCCCTCTGGAAGCTGGCGCTGGGGGCGGCCAAGCAGATCCCTCGGGAGCCTTCAAAGCAGAGCAGCCCCGTTGGCAACTCGCTTTGCAGCACTGAGACCCGGTTAGGCTTCTGCCCCTCGGCAGCAGAAGACAGTAAATCTGGGCTAATTAAAGCCACCGAGTGCATGGTCACTTGTTCAGCAGCCAGAGAGCGGGTCTGTGCCGTGCTCCAGGCCCAGGACACTTCTTGGATGGTGTTCAGGTGTCCCCTGGACAACCTATGGCCCACTGGCCACGAAGAGCCATGTGCTTCCCTGTCCTGAGGCCCTGAGGAGTGACTACAGTCACTCTCACATCTTGAGTCATGTTTTATAACTTATAAAGTAAAATATCACATGCTGAAAAACAATTCCTGAAGACTCAAAAACAAAACAAAACAAAAAAACCTTTCATTCCCCACCACAGTTCTACGCTGAGGGCGCACGGGATTGTCTGTCAGGTTTTTTGCTGCTTGACAGAGCAGCTTCTGCAGGCTGCAGCATTTAGCTTCCTTCGCAAGCCAGGAAACAGAACTGGCACATGCAGGAAAACAGCCAGCTCTGTGCCGTCAAGCACGGCAGATTTTAACCTCCCCTGCTTGCCCCACTGAATTAACCAAAACAAATACAAATGTTAAAACGCAATGCTTGCGGGGCTGTGGGGAAACTTACACACATGGAGTAGGAGGTGATGATTCTAAACAGATTATCTAGGAACAAGAGGCAACTGCCTTCAAAGTGAACACACCCTGGATCCAAACATTCCATTTTGGAAACATTTCAAAGAAATCATCTGATAGCAAAATAAAAACAAAAATACATGCATAAGAGGGACAACAGTGTTTTCAGCTAAACTGGATGTGCCATGAAAACCTGGCTAAAGTCCCATGTCACAAAAGAGCTAAAGAAGGCAGACAGCTGTTGAAAGCGATGGCAGTGCTGCAGACTGTGGGGAGATGTAGAAACAACTCTGTTAAGCAACAGGAAAGGAGAAATGCAGAACTCGGATGGTTAGTCTGCTTGCAATTGCACACGATTATCTGACCAGATTACTAGATTACTAGATACCAGGTGCTGAGCTCTGGAGAATCCAACATGAAGAGGAAGGAAAGGGTCGGGACCTCAGCGGGCTGATTCAGCTGGGAAGATAAACAAAATGACAAGAGGCATGGAAGGGAGGTCACATCATCCAGGGCTAAGGCTTGAGATGACAGGAAGACAGGGCAAAGTCCCAGAGAGCTCCTTCAGGTGGGCTGGCAAAGGGGAAGCCTCCTGAGGAAGTGAGCTGAATCTCAAGGGGCCAAGTCACAAGCAGATCACAGGGAAGGAAGCTGGCTCCCAGGAAAGGGAAGAGCAAGCTCCCGGGGCCTGGGAGGAGGGGCCGCTGCCGAAGCAGAGGCAGGGAGAACCGGAATGAGCACCAGGAGGCCAGCGGCTGAAGATCTGGGGGTCAGGGTGCAGCAGGGACACCGTGGGGAGCAGGATGAGGATGGTCTGGATTTGGGGGTTATAGTGGGGTGCAGTGGCCAGACTCAGTGCAGAGGTAAACCTGTTGGCCAAGGAGTGAGGAGACAAGGGCTCCAAAGCTGTAGGCTGCAGTGGCCAGGAAAGGAGGCTTGGGACACCAACTCCCTGGGTTTCCCCTTATTTTGGGGGGGGGTTTCCCCTTCTTACTAAACCAGCTTTGGGGGTGGGCTTGGGGGGCAGCAGGGCAGTTCTGGAATTATGCAAGATGTAGCCCTAACACTCTAAAAACTCTGCCCTTACCAGCCTCTCCCATGTGGGAGTTCAGAGCAGAAGCTGCTGCCCCCAGCCTTGGGCTCACTCCAGAGTTTCTAGAGGGGGCTTCGTGGAGACTGCAGATCTCAGAGAGCCCTGATGCCCTGAGGTTAAAGGGACTTGGGACATAAAAGTTCCTCTGGATGGTGGGCATCAACATGGGAGGGCACGGTGCTAACCACAGGGACCTCACTTTCCTGAGTGATCCTGGGAGTTAGGTACCACACAGCCCTATGGGACAGATAAGGAAACTGAGGCACGGCGAGACAAAATCACATGGCTAAGCCTGCAAGAGTCCCTGCACCCAGGGACGTACCTCCCGGGTCAAGGATGGGGCTTCCCGGAGAGGTCTTCCCTTTTTGTCCCGAGTTTCCCCCAGCCCCAAGCCACCACTGTTGGTTTTCTCAGTCACCCCAAGAAGAGGGTACTTTAAGTAATTCCAGGTTAGGCATTTGCTGCCCTGGGGCGCCCTCATTTCAGCCTCCTCCTGCACTAGCAGTACCCTGCGAGGTGGGATTAGCACGAGGCTCCCGGGCTCCACACACCTGGCTGGCTGCGCGTCCTGGCTCTGCCCGCTCTGGCTGTGTCACCACGGCCAGCGGCTCGGTCTCTGCGAGGCCCTTTGCCGTCCTCACCTGGAGAGGGAGACAGGAAGGACACCGTGGCTGCTTCACCGGGCGGCGCGGGAGGAAGGCGCGGCCCCGGGCCGGGTGCGCACGCGGCGGTTTGCAGGGCGCCCGGCACCGCGACCCCGCCCGGCCCCGGGGCAGGGGAGGGGAAGGACCCGCGGGAGCCCCGCCCGGGACCGGGGCGCGGGTGCGAGGGGGCCCGCTCCTCCGAGGCGCAGGCTGGGGCCTCGCACTCACCTTGCGCCCGCCTGCCCCGGCCGCCGCTGCAGCCCTGGGGGCCGCTCGGCCTCCGCCGTCGAGCGGCCTGGCTCCGCCCCCGACGCCCCGGCCCGCCCCCCGCAGGCCTGGCCTGGGCGTCCGGCCGGGGGCCGAGGTCCGCCCGCCGAGCGCTGGCGAATCCCGGAATCCCGGAGGGGCGGGGCGCGCTTCCTGCCTCCCGGTGTCCGCCGAGCGGGGGCGCCGCCAGCCGGGCCCGGGGACCCCGGATGATGGGCCTGAGGCTGCCTTGGTCTTCTCCCCCCAGGCCTGTGATCCCCAGCCCCAGAAGGCAGACGCCCGTCTCCTGCACCCCACACTGTCCCAGATGTGCGCGTGCACCCGTGCGCCCCGCGCTCAGTGGTCTAGAACCGCACAGCTCTGCTCCCTTACAGCGGCGCAGCCCTGAACTTTGACTTGGGCCTTGTAGGGCGCCTCTGGCGTCCGAGGGCTCCGGGGCTAATGTGGGGAGAGGCGTCTCCTCTCCTCCCCTCCCAGGTCTGCTGTGGGCTGGACTGGACTCAGGAGGCCAAGTTAATGTGAGCGCTCATTCGGAAGAGAAAAGCATCAGTTACATACATGGGACCTTCCCAAGAGAGTGTGGTCTAAGCAAAGGACCAAGGCCTGATAGTTCTGTATTTTTTTAGACCATGATTGGTGACAGAATGACAGAACAAATGGCTCTCTGGACTAACGCAGTAAGCTCTAGGAATGTCACTAAGAGGAGTAGGGCTGGGGGTGCGGCAGGTTTGTTTATTCAAGTTCATTGCAGCCCTGATAATGGCCAGTGTCTGATGCTCCAGGCTAATTTCCAGCCTTACGGTGAAGGTCATTCCTCCCCAGAGGATCTCTACATCCAGAGGGCTTGCTACATTGCAGACAAACACAGCTAAAGGACCACAAGAAGTGATCTCAGCTTCAAACCCTCAGCATGCTCACCCTGGGTATTCTAAGAGACCTGGCCTTACCGCCTTCATGTCGTTGAGGTCACCTGCGTGAATCAGGATCCTCAATGCTCTCAAGAGCTGATTCACAAGGGCAGGCGACACATGGCTTCCGGGGGCGAGGCTGTGACTGTTTTGTGGAGCGTCACCTGCCCACAGGAAACTGCTCCGATTGGCTGCTATTGCCCTCCTTTCCCTACTCCTTAAGACAGTGTTGTTCTAATCTCCTGATTCTCATTCACATTTGGCTATTCTAACAGTCCTACTCCAGTCCCCAATGTGTCATCAGGCCCATTTAAAACTTCAGTCTCCCTATATTTTACTAAACGCTCTCTTCCCCTCCCACCCCAGCCCCGACTCCAGCTCTCATCCTGCGATGGGGAAAGGAAGAAGAGGAGGTGCAGGCACCCTTCCTCTAACTGCCCACCTTGGTGCTGCCTTCTCCCGTGATGTTAATAACTGGCCCTGCTGGCAGCTACAAGCTCAGCCAGCAGACAGCTCCTCACCAGCCAAGGCCTGGGCACCAAGCTCAGGCTGGTGCCCTGCTGGAGGCTTCGCTTCAGGGTTCTGCCTGCCTGCCTGTGCCCCACCCTGACCTGTGCCCTGGGACGTGAGGTCCCCTGCAAGGGTCTGCCTCCATGCTTCCTGGGCAGCAGGACCCAAAGAAGAGGCTCAGCACTCCCCTCCCCTTCCCTCCTCTCCCAGCTCTGCTGTGGGCTCAGAAGTCAGCGTGGCCTTCTTCACTGGCACCCTTCTGCTGCTCGGCCTCGTCAGCCATGTTCATCTTTATGCCCAGCACAGATCTGGTGCACTGTGGGTGCTTTGGGGGCTTACTGCATAAGTGAGTGAGTTTTGGGCTTAATAAGCTAGAGGTGTGCCCTGTGGTTGCTCCTATTTAACACTGTACCTAAGATCCCAGCCAATGCAAGAAAACAAGAAAAGGAACAAAGAAATACAAAGATTAAAAGAACCATCGCAAGCTACCAAGAAACTCCATGAGACACAACAGACAGTGTTGGGCCTCCGTGTGGCCCTCTCTGTACACGTAACAGAACACAGGCTTGTAATCGAGGCAGGAAGGCTGTCTCGAGTTCTAGGCCAGCCCAAGCTGCATAGTCAGTGCTGAATGACATGGGGAGGCCTGTCTCAAAGAACAAAACCAAAGGGGCTAGAGATTTAGCTCAGCGGCATAATCGCCTGACTTGCAAGCAGGCAGTCATGAGTTCGATCCCCGGTACCAATAAAAAAGGAAAAGACAAAAAACAAAAAACAAAAAAAAAAAAGAAAAGAAAAACAAAGTAATTCAATGTCACATTTTAAGATAACTGGTTTGTAGTATACTGCACTGGAAAACGGTACCCGGAAAGAAAGGCAAGGGCTTCACAGATGGCAAAGGCCCAGGGCCGGAGAGATTCCTGCCGCGGTGAGGAGCCCTCCCTGCAGCGGTCTCGCACCAGGGAGCCCCGCCCACCGAGGCCCCGCCCCCCCCTCCCGCCCTGTGTCTCAGCCAGTGCTGAGCCCGGCTCCCCTGACAGCCTCAGTCATCGTCAGCGTCAGCAGCATCTGGGCGCCCTGCCTTCTGACGTCCACTGAGCATTTCAAGAAAGATCTCAGCCCGTTCCTGGGTGTCTGCTTAGAACAGCTGGGGCCGGGCCGGGCGGTGGGAGGGGAGACAGGGCTTCCTCTGCAGCAGCGGCGGCTTTGGCTTCTCCAGGACAGTGTTTCCAGCTGCAGCAGCTGACCACTTCCCTTTCTAGGGCACAAGCCTGGCTCTAAGAGAAACAGAAAAAACAGAGGGGAGGGAAGCAGACTTCGCCCGCGATGAGGAAAGTACTCTGGATTGCCCACAGTTCTGTCTGTGCCTGGGTCCAGAGGAGACTTTCACAGCAGACAGCCCCGTGACACACCCACGTGTGATGATATAGTCATTCTAGGGGGCCTGCATGGCCAGGGCTGGGCTTGAGGCTCGGGTGTAAGGGCGCTTGCCCAGTTTGCATGAGCCAAGAGAAGGGCTGGAGAGGGCGTCCACGGCAGACCAAGCCAGTCCTTGTCCTGATGTGTGCTGGGGTGGCTGGGCCTTCACACAGCACCGAGGGCAGCGGCCCTGCAGTGAGCAGCAGCGACTTGTCCCCCCTGCTGGTCACTCGTGGAAACACTTACAGCCAGCTCTGGCCCCAGCTGGGCAGGTCAGCCCTGAAGGTGACTTCCACCCTCTCTCCAGGTGAGTGGCCCAAACCCAGCCGGGATGTTGGGCATGGACCCTGGACAAAGAAGCAGGGGTGTGTTCCTGCTGAGGAGGGAGAGCTAGAGGAGGAGGAGGAGGAGGCTGAGGCTCTCCAGTGCCCTGAGCTGCCACTTCCTGCCAGGGCTTTTCTTAAAGATCACTTCCCCAAGGAAGTGGCCCTGTGGCTGGCCACTTAGCTTTCTCTCTTTCCATAGAGGAACGCTCACTCTTGCTGGGTCATCCAGTGGCCCTGCTTAGGGAGAAAAGGGACAGCTCTCCTTTCCTCCTTCCCTGGGCAGCAAGTGCCAGCACACGCCTGTCTCCGTGGGTCTTCACAGCCCTGTGGGCTCCGATGGGCAGGTCTAAGGGAGCCCACTGCAGAATTCCCACACTGCCGGCGGCTTGGTCAAGACACCTGTGTCCTCACCTGTGCCCTGAGCTGCCTCCAGTTCACCCCTCTGCCTTTCCATGGCCTTTGTCGTCCTGGAGGATTGTGGGGGGTGTGAACAGGGACAGTCAGTGTGTGTCATCTCAGCAAGGAGGCCCAGTGCTCACCACACTGCCTCTTCCACTCTTGTCCCGCAGGCTGCACTCAGCCCTGAGGACACCCAGCTCAATAAAGGAACGCTGAACTGTGGTCTTCTTCAGGCAGGGACAAAGTGTGTGAATTTGTTGAAGTGGAGGAGGGACCTCTGGGGAGCTGCCATCGAAGTAGACAGGAAAAACAAAGGTCAGCAAGGGAGAGTCCCTTGTCCATGCCCCCTGGCCATGAAGCAGCGGAGCAGGACTTGAATTCACTCTGTCCGAACTGTGCAGGTCACTTCGGAGCAAGAAAGCTCTGCAGGCAGGGAGGTGGCACCTAAACCGCGTCTCCTGAGATAGAAAAAGAAGAAAGGACATCTGAAGGACGTTGGCTTCTGAAGAAGAAGAATCTTTGTCAGGAGAGCTTCGCTCAAGTCGCATCTTACACAGCATTCTGATCACAGCCAGGTCATCTGTATTTCCTGTGAGACTCGCGGGCATTTCTAACCAGAGCTCAGTTTTTAGACACAGTGGTAGCTGTCCTTTGATTTTCCCTGATGGTGACCTTCTCCCCCTTCTGGTGAACTCAGCAGTCGCCTGAGTTCAGTCCCCGTGGTGTGAGACAGGCTGACCCACCCAGGCCAGCAGCACTCTGGCAGGAGCACTTGGCCGAGGACTTCTGCGCCAGGACTGGAGTGTGCTGCCCTGTAATCAGAGAGCGCTGCCATCGCTGAGAGATCCAGACGCTTGTGCCAAGCACACACAGGCACACAAATACAGAGACCAAACGGAAGAACACGGAGGACATGGAGGACTCCGGAAGCACTGGCATCGAAATGGCCCTCGTCTGGTTCTAAGTCAGCCTGGTGTTTTCGCTGCCTCCATCTGGATCCTCTGCATGTGGTCCCAGGCGCACCCGTGGGGAGTGTGGCTGCTCACGGGAGCTCACGGGCCAAGCCAGCCTCAGCTGAGATCACTGCAGGTGGACCGGTCTCCTCTCGCACACTGTCGGTGCAAAGTGGTAGCAGGTAATAAAGAAAATTGGCCAGGTGTGGTAACATAGGCACTCTGGGAGGCTGAGGCAGGTAGATAGCAAGTTGGAGGGCAGCCTATGCAAGCTGGCAAGACCCTTCTCAAAATTTAAAAAAAAAATGTAAATCTAGTAAAAACAATGCATAGGCATTTGCTGCCACAACTTCTCTTCCATGACCTCTCCTGGGCCAGGAACAGGACAAGGCACCTGCAAGTTGTTCACCACTCATGAGCACATGGGCAGAAGTGGCCCTGTGTCCACTGCTGGAAACTATCTGAATAAACCATGCTCTGGAGTTGGAGATTTAGCCCTGCAGCATAAGCACCTGCCTTGCAAGCAGGCAGTTATGAGTTCGATCCCTGGTACTGATAAAAATGAAAAAGACCAAAAAAAAATTAATAAATAAATAAATACATAAACCATGTTCTGTCCTTCCTCCTCCCTGAAGGCCCACAAGGCTGGGAAAAGATGAGGGGTGCACCCCCATCCCACAGAACCCCGCCAAGATGCACTGCTAAGGACAAACGCAAGGTGCAGTGAGCTCTGTTGCCCCGCAGGTCTACCAGAGGCAGAGCAGAAGAACACATGTGTGCGTTTACTTCTGTCGCAGGTTATGGAAGCAAGGGAAGCTGAACAAAACCTTTGGGTTTTCTTGCTGTCACTTGACTAAAAGTCACATATCCTGGAGGTCACATTACTGTGCTCTGTATTGAGTCCCCCACTAGCTCTAGCTCTGCTGGCAATAGCACCTCTGGTGTGTATTTCAAAATGATAGAGGCCCCCTACATTACTTTTCAGGGCCTCCAAGGCCATTTTTGTTATAACTACCACCTGTGTTTTTATTTTGAGGCAGAGTCTCACTGTGTAGCCAGTATAGCCTTGAACCCGTAGCGATCTTCCTGCCTCAGCCTCCCCAGTGCTGGGATTGCTGGATTTTTATTTTTGTTTTTGAACAGTTCTAAGGAATGAACCCAGGGCCTCCCATGTATTAGGCAGGTCCTCTACTACTGAACTACCTCCCTTTAAATTTTTTTTTTTTTAATTTTGAAACAAGGTCTCACCAAGTTGCCTGGGCTGGCCTTGAAGCTGTGATACTCCTGTCCTGAGTGTGTCACCACGCCTGGTAGCACCAGCATTTAGGCCGTGCCTGTCCTCAAGTCTGGTGCATAGACTTTGACATCAGATCATGCAAATGCTGCCACTGCCTTGCACGTGCACACCAGGAAGTGCCCCGAAGACTGATTTCTACCCACATTCTCCTGTGTTTTAAGTCATCTCACTTCTTTACCCATAAATACTTGTAAGGAGGTGTATTTGAGACTTGGTCTCCTGCCTCCTCATCTTTGGCTGCCATGTGAATAAATCCTCTTTTTCTGCAAAATTTGCTGTTTTGGTGACTACCATATTATTTAGTGGGCAGAACAGGCTGGGTTCAGTCACACATACACTGAGGCACAAACTAGGTAAAGTACAGGGTAGGGAGGGCAGGAGAAACCGACTCCTCTTGTGGAAAGAACCAGGACTGAATGGAATGGAAGATTTGCAAGCACTGAGGAGTTGGAAGGCAACTCCATTAGACTAGTCGGGGGTTGGGGGAACTGAGTTCCAAATCACTAGCCCTGCCTTGGGGTTAGACAGATACTTACACAGGCGTTAGGCGGGGAGTACCACAGGCTGATAGCAGGTTATTTTACAGTTGGTACATAGGCGGGTCCTGTGTTGTCAGGCAGACTTGTTCTGGGGTGGAGGGGGTTTCTTATCATACAGCAGGAAGGCCAGGGGCTTGAGTGAGTGAGTAGAATCAGTCATTGTCTTCAACTGAGCCCGTCTGTCCTTGACGCCACAAGATGGACTAGCTGGCTGAGTTATGTCTGGTTTACAAGTTGCAGCTGGTGTTGCAGCCTCAAGACTAGCTGAGCCTAAAGGGGTGGGCTTGCTGCTCCTGCTTTTTTTTTTTTTTTTTTTTAATCTTTTTATCGGTACCGGGGATCGAACTCACAACTGCCTGCTTGCAAGGCAGGCGCTTACGCCACTGAGCTAAATCCCCAGCCCCTCCTGCTCTTAATATATTGTCAGGTCATAAGTTTTAAAATTCCCTTTATACTCTGAGTAGACCCTGCTATGGATATTTGATTTTGGAATCAGGTAAATGTTGTATATTTAACTATGAAAGCAAATTTAAATAAGCATGAGTTTAAAAAGTAAAAGAAAACAAATGCCTCAATGTTTTGGCATAATCCCACTGACAAGAATTATTTCAGGGGACTTTAAAACAGTAATTTGTACATCCCCGTAGGATAAAAGGCACTCAAAGGACAAAAAGAACTGCCAAAAAATAAGAGAGCTTTTCGTAAGCACATTGCTAATAATACTCATATCGTCCTTCTCTAACTGTGGTACGTAAGGAAGGATGAAGCAAACAATTATGATGTTAATATTGCTAGCACAAATATTTTTTATTATAAGAGCTAGAAGTATAAAATCAAACAGATAACGCTGTGCAGTCTTTTATTGTATTTTATTGTATTTATTGTCTTTTGAGACAGGGTTTCACTGTCTGGCTGGCCTTGAACTCACTATATAGCCTAGCCTGGCCTCGAGCTCATCATGGCAATCCTTCTGCCTCAGCCTCCCAAGTGCTGGGATCGTGCACATGCACCATTACACCTGGCCACATTTAATTTTTTTCTTTTAAAAATATGTATGTCCAGCACTCGGGAGGCTGAGGTGGGAGGATCACTGTCAGTTCAAGATTAGCCTCGGCTACAAAGTAAGCTCAGGACAGCCTGAACTGCAGAGTGAGACCCTGTCTCCAAAAAAAAAAAAAAAAAAAAAAAAAAAAAGCATGGCCTAGTCTTGTTCTCTGAAAAGGCCTAGAAATGAAGAATTCTGGCAATGAACACCCAGCCCTGATACCCAAGACTAAAAGCTACTTCCCACTGAAAGAACCATGGTCTTCTGGGGAAAAGGCCTCTCCTCGGAGCAGAGGTCCGGCAGATCCCAGGGTGACAGCAGAATGCCAGGGCGGAAGAGCCCGGAGCACAGGGCAGCCTGAGGGCACCAGCTGGCCAAGGACGGTGACTGTGAGCATCACCGGGAGGACGAGCTGCCCCAGCCGGAACAGTTCAGATGCACCGAAACCCACAAGTTCATAAGGGAGCGCAAACAGGTAAAAACCAAACAAACTCTAACCGCTGGCCATTTTCAGGGGTGCTAGGGAAGCACCCTGTTATTTGGAAACTGATAAGTGAGGGCTGAGACGAGCATTTATCTTGACTCCTTTACGTGTTCTAACCTGGCATAATCAAACAGCAGCTGAAGGAATTTCCTCTGTATGGGCTATCAGGTGGGATTATAAATATTATAAATACTATAGCTTCCAACATGGAATCTACAACTGAAAGAAAATATATACCTTTTTGCTGTGCATGGTGGAGCATGCCTGAAATGCCAGCACCGGGGAGCCTGAGGCAGGAGGATCACTGCAAGTTTGAGGCCACCTGGACTACGTAGTGAGTTCAAGGCCAGCCTGAATTGCATAGTGAGACCCTGTCTCATTAAAAAGAAAGAAAAAGAAAAAAGAAAAAAATTTATAATAAGACACATATTAAACATCGTATTGTCTCACTAGTGTAAGAAGCTGACAGTAACAACAGATGTACATGTGTGTGTATATATATGTGCATGTATAGTAGTTATGACAGTCACACTACTGATTTCTCTGAGTTCAATGGAGAGGAAGATTTGTGCTGGTACTATTTGGACAATTGTAAGCAGATGTCTTGTGCTCTGGGTGACTGATTTGGGGATGACAATAAGGAATGTATGTATCACTGTTGCCCCATAATCATCCGTGTTTTGAAATTTTTAGGGTTTTTCTTCTCTTTTTCCTTGAAATAAAATGGACTTAAAAAAAAAAAAGGATTTTATAGAGTTGGGGGTTGCTACATCCAGGATGCATTAAACAGGCAAAAAAGGAGGGAAGACCTACAGATGGAAGAGTTCAGGTCGCCATTTCTACTCCCCAATAAATTTTCCTACTCTTAAAAAAAAGGGGGTTAGGGGCTGGGGATTTAGCTCAGCGGCATAAGCGCCTGCCTTGCAAGCAGGCAGTCTTGAGTTCAATCCCCGGTACCGATAAAAAGGAAAAAGACAAAAATAAATAAATAAATAATAAAACTATCTAGGAAATTTGAGTATTTACTGAGTATTAAGTGTGAGTAAAGGTAATAGTTTTCTTTTTAAAGGTAATAGAGTTTTGAGAATCACTTTAAAGAGCCAGGTATAGTGGCCCAGAGGTATAATCCCAGCACTTGGGAGGCTGAGACAGGATGGATAGTCATGAGTTCAAGGCCAGCCTGACCTGCATAGCAAGATCCTGTATAAAAAGAAAGAAAGAAAGACAGACAGACAGAAAGAAAATACATCCTAAATTGAGAGTGGTGATGCATGCCTTCAATCCGAGCACTCAGGAGGCTGAAGCAGGAGGATCCCTATGAGTTTAAGGCCAGCCTGTGGTACATAAACAAGTTCAAGACCAGCCTGCACTACATAGCAAGACGCTGTCTCAGAAGAAAAGAAAAGTCCCCCCAAAAGAAGCAAACCTTTATATCTATGGTGACTATATAATACCACCTACTACCATGATTACACAGCTACACTGTCTCAAAAACACTTAAAGTAGGGTCTGGGGATACAGCTCAGCAGTATAAGTGCCTGCCTGGCAAGTGGAAGGTCCCAAGTTCAATTCCTAGTACAAATTAAAGAAAAACCCATAAAGTCACCACTCTGGGGCAGTTGTGATGACACAGGTTTGGCACTGAGCTTCAGCCGAGACTGAAGATGGGCATATGAGACTTCAGGAGTCCTCTGTCTAGTTGTGTGCGCTGTCATTTTTTTCAGAATATGAACTTTGAATGAGTGGACCTCTGCCGAGACCCAGGAGGCTCCTGAGGTTCTTGGAGTTAAGGACCGGGAGAGGATGAGAAAAAACAAAAGACAAGACAAAGAAAAGACAAAGCTGGGCTCAGGTGAGCCCTTACGCTCCTGATGGGAGGAGAGGAACTGCCCAACCACTGCAGCCTGCTGATTCATAGGCCGGGAAGGATGCTGTCAATTTCAGCCCTCTGCCTGGGAACCTGTGGCTTGGATTGTCTAGCTGCTCTATGGTGTTTTTCTGGGCCGTGGCAGCTTCTTCAGGTGGCTGATCTCACTCTCTTCGTTTTCCTGGGAGGGTCATCCGTGTCCTACGTCAAGTTCCAGCTTCAAGGGCTCCCAACAGGCCTCTTGGTTTTGTATCTTTTTTTTTTTTTTTTTTTTGGTCTTTTTCCTTTTTATCGGTACCGGGAATCAAACTCAGGACTGCCTGCTTGCAAGGCAGGCGCTTATGCCGCTGAGCTAAATCCCCAGCCCCGGCCTCTTGGTTTTGACCAATCATTTGACTTCACAAATCTAAGAGTCAGCACTAGAACTGAATATGTGAGGCTGAACATGAATCAGGGTTTATTCGTTTCCTCTCTCTCTGTTTCTCTTTCCTCCTTTTCTTCCTTCCCTCCCTTCCTTCCTTCCTTTGTTTTGAGACAGTCTCACTGGGCAGCTCAGGCTGACCTTGAGCTCAGAGCCACCTTCCTGATTCGCCTACTGAGTGCTGGGATCACCACGCTCAGCCCTCTAGCGTTATAAAAGCAAACCAGGACAACCAACCTACAAATCAACCCACGTAGGGCTGCTTAAACACATTAGGGTAAAACTGAAGCCAAGCACTGAGACCAAAACTGTTTAAACCTCACCTGGGGGTGAGCGCTGGCTTAGAACGAGTGAGGTGCTGGGATCAGGTCTGAGCACTGCAAAGACAAAAACAACAAAATCCAACTCCCACCGGAACAAACCTCCCTGACCCTCTTCCCCAAAATCAGGTGCCCTATGTTCTCTGTCATCATGGCGAGCGTGGTCATCGGCCTCTGCTCCAGCGTCCTGTCCCCTGGGTAATAGGTGAGGGACCGTGTGGAAAGAAGAGCCCATAATCAGTCATCTTTGTCCTTGACATCTGCAGCACTGAAAAGCATCTCACGACCAGGCGACGGGGTCAGGCAGATTGTTTCACGGGCCCACCTTCTGTGCGAGGCGCCCACTGGTCTGGGAACATCCACTGCCTTGCAGATACACAGCGCTCAGTTTCCTGGCAAAAACGACTTCAGATACGAGTCCTCCAGCTCCTTGTCCTGCTGGCTTTTCTGTAGTGGCCCTCCTTGCCTCAACGCCTTGTCTCTTGCTGTGACTGGCCCGTCTTGTGGCCAGCAACCGGACTTGTGTCCTGTAACAAAATCATACAAAGGAATACTGTGC